TTTGAGACTAATATCCCTTCTCGGCTAACACCCCTTTAAGCTAAAAATTACCCTTAATTGATACGGAGAAATTTTTGAGCATTTCTAAGCTACCAAAGCACACGAATACATGAAATCTAAAATAATACTAAAAGAATAATTATGCATAAAGTCCAAATAAACAGAAATAAATACATAACAGAAAGCATAGAAAAGGGTTAGAAAGTAGAGGTATGTCCATACTCTTAAATTAATTTATGAGATAATATATAGTGAATGATGTATAAGACTACAATATGTAAGAGAGATAATCATTATTAATAATTATCAGAAAATACATCTGCAGTTCCTCTGTCTCTCTTAACATCTAAAATCAAGTTCTGTCACTTGCTTTGGCCAATATGAAAGCCCTGATGTATAACAAATTGTTATGCTTTTATTTAGCTCACCGTTGGTGTTTCTTACAATGGTCAAACGTTTGTCACTGATTTTTTTAATTACTTCTCTTGATAAGCTTTCAAGCTCAAATTTTACACACTCACTTTTTGTGGATGACAATAAAAAAATAACTTTTTCAAATTTGATTTATATTTTTTTAAATTTAATACTGAAATGATTTTTCATAAACATTTTTGTTTAACAAAAAAAAATCTCAGAATTTTACAGTTCATACCATTAAATACAGCCAAAAAAATCGTTTCAATGAAATTTGCATGAAATATTTTTAACCATTTGATGAAAAAGAGTGATTTTCAGCTCAAGAATGATTTTTCAACTGAATAACTTGATTGACAATGTGTTCTTTGGCTTATGTTAATAGATTTATTTCACATTCTCTTTTTGATGAAAATAGCAACTGCCCATTTTTATTCATAAAGATAATGGCATCACATGTTTTTTACAGAGATACTGCTTTTGTTTTGTGCATGTAAAAAATGAAACAAATAAGGTACAAAAGATGATGCAAAAAAATTAAACAAATGAGTAATGATGATGATTAAAAAAAAAATAGTTCTCCTTGTCCATTCCCTTCCCAACTGCCAGATCCTAGACTTTGTCTGGATATGATATGCAGAATAGTACATTGTGGTTCATAGTCCAACTCTGACAATTTCATGCCTTTTGATATATATCATGAACACAGGATAGTATACCTTAGAAATGAAGGAAATATTTCAGAAAGCATTCCTCCCTTTAAGTACCTTCACATATTTCTCTGTATTTATTTTAGCAGCCTAACTGAAAATTACTGTTTATCCATGTATCAAATTTTCAACCTATCAAAAAGTCAATCAAAAATTTAAAATCTACACTAATTTAAGAAAGATTGGTTTCTGCTCAATTCTGCATGGGTTTGGAGGTTGTAGAGAGCTTCCCCCTGTTTAGTCCAAATGAGCAATTTGCCCAGAAGGACTACAGTCAAAAGTCATTAATCTGGACACCCATAATCCAGAATCATCTATAATTCGGACCCCAAAGCTACAAACTTTCTGCGCATGCGTCAACGCAAATTTGCGTTGATGCATGCGCGTAACACCTTTATGCATGCGCATGTGCGTGTACGCATGCACGCTTAATGTATAACGGACGGTATAAGCTAAGCTAAAATTATCTACTTATCTATTTCAGTTAATGTTACAGATTGCATTGCTCCTTAATCTTCGAATTGGAACCGGCTTATTATTTTTTACAGACTGTTAAAGCAATTTTATAAAAGTAAGTTGGAACTTTCGATTATGTCAAATAGAATTTCCGATGCTGGATCTACAAAGGGAAAGCATGTTTTGATATCCGTCAAACAAAAAGTGGAATTGCTGCAAAAAATGGATAAAGGCTCCTTTGTTTCTCTAACCATTCCGAAATCTGTTTATCAATTTCAGGCTGCTCTGTGCGGGGGGGGGGGGGGGGGGGGGGATGTCACGGCGCGCAATGGACTTGAAGTTGATCTGTCAGCACTATCCTTATCTTCAGGGCAGATGTTTTTATTTTATTCGGCTTATAATGTATTTCATCTCGATGTACTCTGTCTTTGATATGATTTAAATTAAATTCCTCGTCATTATAAATATCACGAATACAAATCAAATAGTTTTCTGGTTGGAATTTTCTAATTTCGACTATGCGTAATGTATGCTTTACGCATGCGCGCGCTGAAAGAAATATTTAATAAAGTAAACAAATGAATATTAAGCTTTTTTTGTGTAAATTTTGATACCCTTTAGATCATAATTGCTCTTTATTTCATAAATTACGGTTTCATATTTTCAATTTTATAATTTCTGCATGCCATCTTACCAGATTTAAACTGATAATTCGGAAAGATTGATAATCCGGAATCGCCGAAGTCCCGACGAGTCCGGATTAAAGACTTTTGACTGTATTAATTTTGTTCTGGCATTTTGCGTTGACTCACTACTAGCATTGTTTCACTTTTCAAATTGTTGCCACCAAATATTATCGCCTTCTATTATATTTAAAGAAATTAAATAATGAAGAATCTGCATAAATGTATGTATGTTTCTTGCCCTGTGGTAAAACAATGGTACCTAGAGCTATCAAATTTTGAATAACGTAATCCTCCCGTGAATATGGGCATCTAGAAGACCAAATTTGAAATTTGGAATTTGTTTTATCGTCGATTTCATATTTTGTAAAACTTTAACCAATTTTTGATTAACAAAACTCAAGGATTTCAAAGCATGCAATGACAATGTTGTACAGGGAAAACACTTTTATCCCCAGCGCGTGAGACTTGTGTATCCGAAATTCTAAAGATATGCTGATTTTAAAATTATTTTGCAATATTGCTCTTGAACTGAATTTTATGGTTAAGTGTGAAGAACATGATATTTAACAAATAAAGTACTAAACAAAATGTTTAAAAAACATCTCTTTGGACGTAATTTAAAAACTGATTTTTTTTTTTTTTTTTTCATATGAACTATGCCATAGCTGCCAAACTTGAAATATGCAAAACTGAGTGGTTCCTTGCACAATCAAAACTTTACAGATTTTTGTGCTGCATGATTACACCATTTCAAATGAATCCAAACTGATTTACATCAATTTTACAATATTCGATTCAGGTTATTAAACTATTTATAATCTAATTCAGATGTAAAATATATTAATATTCAATTAGCTATTCTGAATTTTATGTTCTTCAGTTAATTTTATTTTGTAAGTTTCATTATGTTTTTATGTAATATATACTAAGACAGTCATGAGCAAGAAAGAAAAAGGCAAGAAAAGAATTTCTTAAAATAATTTTAAATATTATGTTATAAATTTAGCAAAATAATAAAATATTATCAACAATCAATGTACACTGAGCAAAAAAAAGGGGGTCAGTTCTATATCTCCCGTTCTACTGGGCCTATTGACAAAATTCAAATTGCGTTCTTCATGTCTCAAAAGCGTGACTTAGGATATATATTAGATTTATATATAGCTCTATTCTAATATAGTTATTTTGACAAGAAATCAGACTTTTTCTGAAATAACATACCAATTTTTTTCCATATTTCGATCCTACGACTCAAAGTATGCCTAAATATGAAATTTTGTCAAATCTGGTGCAAAATTTATGGAGAAATTCACAAATTTATGCTGGCACTTTTTTTTTTTTTTTTTTTTTTTTTCAGTTTGCGCCAAGAATAGTTCATCTGGCAAACTTCTTAATATATGTCAACCTATTTTCCTTTCCTGTGAGAAGGGGGAAGTCACAATCATTTCCTTTTTTCAAATAATGTTCTTTATATTATATTTTTAATTATACAGTCAAAAGTCTTTAATCTGAATGTCCATAATCCTGCATAAAATGCATAATGCATTTACGCATATGCATAATACCTTTACACACGCACATATGTGTTTATGCATACGCATAATACATTTACGCATGCACATTTAATGTATAATGGACGGTATAAGCTAAGCTAAAATTATCTAATTATCTATTTCAGTTAATGTTGCAGATTGCGTTGTTCCTTAATCTTCTAATTGGATCCACCTTATTATTTTCTGCAGACTGTTAGAGCAATTTTATAAAAGTAAGCTTGAACTTTCGATTATGTCAAAAAGAATTTCCGATTCTGGAGCTGCCAAAGTATCTACAAAGCAAAAGCATGTTTCGATGTCCATCAAACAAAAAGTGGAATTGTTGCAAAAAATGGATAAAGGCATATCCTTTGTTTCCTAACCATTCCAAAATCTGTTTATCAATTTCACACTGCTCTGCAGGAAGGAGGACGTCACGGCGCGCAATGAACTGGAGTTGATCTGGCAGCACTATCCTTATCTTCAGAGCAGATGTTTTTATTTTATTCGGCTTATAATTCCTTACTAAATGTAGTATTTCATCTCGATGTACTCCACCTTTGATATGATTTAAATCAAATTCCTTGTCATTATAAATATCAGGAATACACATTATTTTCTGGTTGCAATTTTCTAATTTCGACTATGCGTAATGTATGCTTTACGCAAGCGCTCGTTGAAAGAAATGTTTAATAAAGTAAAATAAATATTAAGCTTTTTTTTGTAAATTTTGATACCCTTTAGATCATAATTGCTTTTTATTTCATAAATTACGGTTTCATATTTTTTATTTTTATAATTTCTGCATGCCATCTTACCAGAATTAAATTGATGATCTACAATCGGGAAAAACCGATAATCCGGAATAATTTTCATGATGATATGATGTTCTATAACGTAATTTAATTTATACAAACATATAGTCGAAAACCAGTTGCTCTTCACTTTAACTGAGAACTCTCGAGAAACTTTGCGCTGATAACTCTGCCCATCATATCCACTGGCACCATTCTTACAACTAGACACAGCTAAGTTGTCTAAGTGTACTCCATCTCCCTCAAAGTTTGTAGGATTTTAGCTGGGACATCCTATATATACTGATGGGTATATATCTTGAACTGGCAAGACTTAGCCATGTTAGCAGGAAAAAAAAAAAAAAAAACACAGTTTTAAGTAACTGCTATCTGAACTAAAAATTAATAAAAACAAAATTTTTTATTAATAATTATTACATTAAAGTATTGCACATAACAGCTCTTCAAAATAGTACAAAAATATATGAATTTTCCAAAAGATAATTTAAATTAATCAAATGCAGTAACAAATACTCAAAAATCTCTTGACAGAATTAATTCCTTGAATAAAAGCTGTCATTCATTTTGACAAACATCTTTCTTCACCAACTACCAAGCAGTTTTCAGAATTACAAGACACAAAAGTGACAATTTTCTCTTTAAAAAAACTTGGAATTTCTACATCACAAAATTCAGAATCTTTCTTTTCTTCCAAACAGCTAGGATACTTTCCCCAACAGAACAAGTAATTATCTGAGGAAATTAAGAAAAAAAGATTAGATCCTTTTTACAAAACATGTACTTACTGGACAAAAAATTAGACCTCTGAGGTAATGGTGTAGGGGCTCAATTATAGCATAAGTGATAACAATTTTTAATTTCAAGTATTTTGTACTTTTGCATATGTAAAATTATTTTGTAAAAGCAATGTTTTGTTAATATTTATATTAATTTTATGTTGAATGGCAACAAGTACTAGTTCATGATAATTTTGAGTTTGAATTTTGATTCTAATGTTTATGTCATTTTAAGTACAGCTCATTTTAATACTTAAAAAATTAAAGCATTAAATTTAACTATTTCAGTAGTCATTCTTGCTGTTTCTAAATTATAATATGATTTGAATACTGGTAGTCAAAGGCTACAGTAGCATGAATGACAGCAACAATTTACCACCACATGAACTCTACAAGTTTGTGAATGATATTCATACTGATCTGAATACATTCTGCTATTAACAGGTCCAGAAGTCGGTCACATTTCTAAAATATTGCCGTCTCCTATAGATTTTATATTTTAAGTAGCAAAAAAATTTTCAATAGGATTTTGCTTCCAAAGACTATGACAAACTAAATGAAATATTTGTTAAAGAAGTGAGAGACAGTTCAAGCCTGGTACATTTTACAATTACAGTTTCTTCAAAAACTGTTTTACTACTGCTTCCCTGAAAAACTGAACTATCAGCAAGACAACAGAAAAAAGAAATACCTTTTTATCAAAAATATGAATAAATGCCTGCTGCTTCAAGTGCATGTTAACTGCAATAACAGAACACAATTCAGAGAATGTGAAGCATTAAACACATAAAAGAGCTACCTTCTGCTCATGTCAACACACTGCATATAGTTTTCATACAGCCTACGATGTATTCTGCACCTTGCATTTTTGCAGCATTTTTGTTATAAAATGGGAGAAATAGAACTCATTAGATTATATGGCTCATTTCCAATCTTCTACTATTCAATTTTTATAGAATTTAGCCCACTGCAGTTGTCTCATTTTGTGCACATATGTTAGCACTAGTTTTTTCCTCAGTACTCCATTCTATACCCATAGCATGAAATTTTCTGTATAATTTTTCTAAAACTGCAACATGTAGTCCATGAATGGTGTTTTCAGGCAGTTCTTTTCTTAACACACCAGTAAAGACACTTCATCTGACAATCTCCAACTTGCATTTCATTTTTGCTTCAATTTAGGTCAATATTTATGTTCAAATTTCAAACTGATCTTCAGTCTAAATCCAGTTTGCCCATGTATAAATGCTTAAATACTTTTGCATATGATGTATATCTAAGTAAATCTTTTTGTCATCTGTGGAAACATTAAAATATTCAGAAGTGGTTAAAAAAGGATATATTATTGTCTATCTCATTAAAATTCATGAAAAATAAAATATGAAGCATTAAAAAGAAATTTAATTTAAAAACTTAAAAGTTTTAATTATAAATAGGAGAAAACAACAAACCTACCTCGATCTTATTATAAAAATACATCAAGTAATAACTCAGTTGCACTCAGAAATTTATTTTCATGACTTAAATCTAATATATTCATTAGTATTTATATATATGGAATTTTTCTGTTAAGAAAACCTATTAGATGTGCTGTATATGTTCACCAGTGGCAACTAATATGCCTATAACTTTTTCCATTCCCACCCACAGATATATAGTGGTTAGCAGAGACAGTTATTATAATGTTGTCTCTCCCTCAGAAGGCAAAGATATATGCACCTATCTACCTCCCTTTTATGCAAAAGTAACTGTCTTGCATGCTGCAGCCTGGGCAATATCTTAGGTGATGAGATGGCTAAATGAAAAATTGATCCAGACATTTTTGATAAACAGTTAACCAACAAGTATCTAGCAATTGGAGTTTAAAAAAATACCAATTGTATCACTGCTTTAAAAGCAAACAACCATTAACTACATAATGTTTTTACTGCTAACGATAAAAATTATAAACTAAGAATATTTATTTTAAAACTAAGATATTAATGAAAAATTATAATTTATTATACATTAAAATTAAAAAATTAAAGCAATGTAAATTACCTTCAGAAACTGCCATGCTGTAAAAATCGCTACAAGCCACCTGACCTATATTAAAATTTTCTAGTTTTTCTATTCTTTGTGGTAGACTGTAATCTAATCCAGACTTACCACAACCAAGTTGAAAATAATGATTTGAGCCCACAGAGAACACTTCACCATTTTCTGAAATTGAGAGATTTATTATTATTGCATGAAAATAATATGAACGTGCAATTAAAATTCTGTAAATCAATTTCTCTGCAATAAGAAATGTAATTGAATAACTGATGAATCAAAACTACTAAATCTCTTCAAAATCTCTTTTTCTCTACAGAGGATAAAGGATAATTTGTGTGTGTGTTACATATATATTATTCTTTAAATTTCCCAAACTTCGATTTTCATTAAATTCAAAATACATGGAAAAAGTTTTAAAAGCCTTTAAAAAATTAAAAATTATACTTTTCATTCCATCTACATTTCTCAATTAATTTATAGCAAAGACACAAGAGATATGTCATGAAATTTTCAAATTTAAATCACTATAGTATCACCCATTAATAAAACATTCAGAAAAATATACTGTATCCTGACCATGAAGGCATTCAAGCATATTATTTTGCAGGGTTTCTATAATAAACGGAAACTAAAGTACTGCAGACCTACTAGACTAATAGCGAGTTATTGCTTCATCTTAAACAACTCACAAAATACTAAATTTTCTTTAGAAGGTTAAAATAACTTTTCTATTTAGACTTAAATTGAACAGAACAGGCATAACTTATGCTACAGATGATACTTCTACTACTTGTAGGTATTCAAATTAACATAATAGGCAATTACATTAAAAAAAAACAGATGATGTAATCTAAGACCTCACTTAAACTGATTAAATTAAACTGGCTCAGAATTTTACTGACACATATTTTAAAACATCGGTCAGCGAGATGCTAAAGCCAGAATACAAGTTTAAGTAGAGCTCACCCAGCAAGACACAGTTGTCAAGCTCTAATCTAAACATTCAAAACCCTCAACTTAAATATACACACACCTAATTTGCATTCTCGTGAAAAATATGGAAAGGAGAAATTAAAAGACTTCAATCATAATAACTAGTTAATTAACATAAAATACCTTGCAACTTTAAAATAAATAACCAAATTATCAACAAGTGTATTATATTCAACTCGCTCTCTCAAGCTGTCAATAAGGAAAATGATTGACTAATGAACAACACTTGCATCAATGTTTACTAATTAGCTTACTTTTTCCTTTTGATTATAAATTAAGGGAATCAATTTTTAAACAACATTTTCCTTCCATATTTCATCTTTATATTTGTGTAAATTTCGACTTTCTATAGTAAAAATAATATTTGGGTTGAGAAACAAATTAGTGCATCATGAAAATGATTTACTTGTCTGTCTTAAAAAAACTTCCAAGTTCTTTAATAGATAAGAAATATATTCAGTTTTAGTAAGAAAATCAATGGAATGATGGGGCAATTACATTATTAACAACAGCATCAGTTTTTGTTTTGCCATGCTAGTTTATTTGTAATTTCAGAATATGAAAATAGTCATTTTGTTAATTTGAAATACAGTTTACCAAACTGTAGAACTGATGATGAAGTGCTAATGATGCTTCCACTGTGTGAAATTTTTCTCCTATAGAAGAATATCGGGGAAGAGGGAGAATTACTCAGTATTGCATAATGTAGCAATAAAAGACCTAACTGATTTTAAAGGTCACCAGTACCCTTATATCCATTTATTACAAAACAGTTACAAACATCTCACTTTAGCTCAGTTTCATTATGATTGCTCTAAAACAAGGATATTTTTGTTTCTCAGAAATTTTACACTTTCTCTTCTTTTGATTTGCATTTTTACTTTCATCATTTTTAATTTTTACATTTAGGAAAACTGTTTTGCTTGACCCTTATCATTACAATACACAAACAGGTGAAATAGTGCAGTAAGTACAAACACAATACAAGCAACCATATACACATTGTTATACTGCTACTAAACTTGTGTCTATGAAGAATTAGATCTTACTGAAGAGAAAAAAAAATTATTTTTCCATGTCAGACACTATACTATGCATGTAACATGAGCTTCCCTTGGATATGTCTGTTACTGGTTCAAATGTACCTCTTTTCTACAACACAAAAATAAATTAGATATTCACTGTCACTCATATTAGAACATGGCCATGTTCCATTATGTTACAAATATAAAATTTTATGCATTTCATTCATTTCTTGTCTTAAGAAAAAAAAAATGTGAGGAAGTTATCCCAACGAATTAATTTCTGATCAGTATGATATTACATGTAACCTAATATTCAAGTTTTATTTCACACCATAACCACCCTTAAACAGAACATAAGCAACAACCTGTTAACACATATTATGTATTGCCAAGATTACATAAATATGTGTAAACCTTAGATAGCTACAAAGAATATTTAGGTAGTAATTAATGCAACTAAGTTATTTACATAGTATTTCCTTCCTCCCAATCTTGCAATTGAAAAGAAAAAGAATTTACTAAAAATTCAAAGAAGATAATACATTTGTGCTGCGCAACAAACCAAGGAAAATTAAACTGACCCTCAGCAAAATCAAAACTTGTAAGAATAACTAATATCAAGTTTTAAAATTATAGTTCATATAACCAGATTATTCATAAAACATGCCAGAAGCACAAAAGTATGATCCAAAACAAGTATACATATTCGACAATTCAAACTTTCTCCTGTAAAAAGTTCCATTTCCTTTAAGATATTCAAACTTGTTTTAAACTTCTATTTTCAATGCGGCAAAATGCTGATATAACATGCAGAGATATATTTGCAAAATGCTTAGAGAGGCAAAAAGAAACATGTATTCTTTTATGCATATTTTCCTATATAGTCAAGAATCAAAATAAATTTTAAAAAGTTATTATGATAATATTTCATGAACTTTTATTCTTATTGTTCTCAATTCCTGAAAGAATGTTTTCTGAGTATCTTAAACTGGATCTGAAGGTCATGAGAATTCATCCCATATAGGTCTCTCCCTCAAACTTTTATATAAACAAACTTTTCACCTCTAAATCTACTTATATGTTTAATAATAATAATAATAATAATAATCTCAGCATATTTATCTATTCTATGTAGAAATATTTTAAGGTAACATTATAATTTTTCATCATAGAGTAAACTATAAAAAATCATGATTTCTTCATTTCATCAAAAAAAGAAAAAGAGAGAAAGACTAAGATACAGAAGATATTTTCTTGAGCTGATAATGCATGTAATAGAATGTCTTTTAATATACATAAAATACTTCTTTGGCAATATCTCATTTTAGATATCCATGCAACAAAAATATGAACACAAATTTACATGTAATCCTTAATGGTAACATCAACAGTTTCATGAGCTAATTATGAAAACCATAAGATTTCTTTTTCAATGCATATGGTACTTAGCTGGCAATAAGGTACTTCACTAGCAGTTGTATAGTTCAGTTGGCTATACAACAATAACCCAAAAAAAATTAATTTAATATTTCTAAATTGTTAATCAACATTGTTGTTAAAAATAGCACAATGATCAATTTTAAAACAACTCTAATACTTTTTTTAACAGTGGCAGTTAGTAGCAGTTGTATAAAGAATAATAAATTTAATTTAAAAAGTCATTCTACAAATTTGCCCTTTCCGGCAATCTATTTTTGCACTGCAAAAATTTTACCTTTGATAACAAAATAGGTTACTATAGTTTAGGTATACCACATTTAGGATGATGTTTCAATCATACTGAAATAAATTTACAGTTTTATTGTTAATTATTTGAAATAGCAAGTGAAGAATATATAATGCACTAAATGGCATATGGGTGTATTATATTTTTTAAACAATAAACTCAATAATGAACACAAAAAGATACACAACTAATACCATCCTTTCCAGCATGCACCAATAACATACAGCTGATCACTGATTAAGGCAAAAATAAAAGAAATTATAATAACAATAATTATACCTTTAAGAAAAATAATAAACATGGGAACTGTTCTGTTATCAGACCAGGTCCAGAAATGTATGTATGTATGTATGCATGGAGGGATGGATGTGTTCATGTATATATGTACATACATACGTATGTGTCTATGTGTGTACACATATATACACACATACTTATGTACACATGTGCATACATATATACACTTCTGAATCCAGTCCTGATAACAGAAGAGTACCTAAACATGTATTATTAAAAATCTAAATCCTATTAAAAGATTAAAAGAAATGTATGAACTTTTCTTTTTATATGTACAAGACAAAATCAGTATGAATGATGTAGATATTTACCACAAAGAAAAAGAGTATGAGATTTTCCAGCGCTAATAGAAACTATTTTGCATTCAGACAGAGGTTTAGATTCAATTGGGGTAAATTCTCTTACTTCTTCTACTTGATAACCTTCTCCTGAATCCATACCTAATTTGTTGTGTCTAAATTTAAAAAATATGATTTTAATATCATTAGTACAAAATTGTTTTTAAGTAAACAGTACAAAATGCATAACCCTTCTTTTTAGGCATGCTGAGTTAAGATCAATGAGTAATATTTTTGCAATATTGAAAATATGCTGCTTAAACTGAATTTTAAAAAATCATTCCAACATTTCAATTATATTCATGACAATCCCCCCCAATTCAGAAAGTTCATCTTACATAAAAAAACAGGTAATTGGTATTTAAATTTATTATTCATGCATTTGAATATTTCAATTATACTAAATTTGCAATTTTGTGAAGTATTACATACTACATACCATATGAATTTCACAAAGGAAGAAATGAAAGCAACATTAACAAATAGCCATCATTAACCCTCCACGTACAGCCCTCACGATTTCCAAGTGATATGAAATCTGTCTCATAATATGGGTCACGTGAAAGTAGCATGCATAAGTTTATTTCCCTTTTCTCCCTCTCTCTATTCTTATTATTTTCAATATAGATCTCACTTTTCCTCCGTTTAGCTGAAGCTATTATAATATTCATATTTCATGCTTCCTTTTGTACCAAATGGCACTACAGGTTTATATCAATGTAAGGGAAAGCTATTGTTTCTTCACAGCCAAACATGATGGATACTGTTGATTCTTTCATTGTGAAATGATAAGAAAATAGTAAATATGCTTAGTTCTGTTCATGATGTGTCACCTGTATCAGTTTATTCAGGGACAACAAAAGAAAAACCAAAGATAAAAGTGATTTATGATTATAATTTTAAATTTTACAATGGTGTCAACAGATGCGATCAGGAGATGTCGTACTACCCTAGTACCCGAAAAAAACTTTGTAAATATTACAAGAAAAAATTTTTTCCATACATTAGATCGAACAATGTGGAATTCATATATAATATACAGAAAAATAACAAACATGAAAAAATCCCTTCTTGATTTCAAGCTAGCTGTGATCGAGGAAATCTTTGACAAATATTCTTCTTTACACTCATCAATACGGTCTAGAGATGATAGCATGAACTTTATTTGCCATGTAGGGAAGCATTCTGGAAGCCACATACCACTAAATTCTATAAAAAAAAAAAGGAAACTAGAAGGCAATGTGTTGTTTGTTGCTCCAAAAAAACAACAATGAAAAAAGTATGCAAAGACACTCACATTTGGTGTGAAGAATGCAAAGTTAGATTATGTTTAGAGCCATGTTTCAAAGTTTAAAACAATAAAAAAAAAATTTGTATACTAATAAGTGAGTACAAGTAATATTATTATTAGCTGTAAAAATTAATTAGCATGTATATTTATGAAAATCAAAAAGACCATAAGTATTTTTAGATTTTTATTCCATGCAGGATAAAATCATGTGAGCCGTATTGTATGCTTTTTAAAAATTAAAAGCTATTAAAATTTCTGCATTATACTAATTTTGTTTATAAAGATGCAAATAGTAATTTATAAAAATAGAACAAATTTATTTAAAAAAAAAAAAAAAACCACCCCATTTTTTTTTAGGGCTAGAAATGCATCAAAATTGAGCAGTACGCGGAGGTTTAACAAAGGGCATCCAAAACAGTAGACTTGTGAACCTGTAAGAGATCATTTTTGAAATTTCAAAGACAGTGATTTCTTTTCAAAGGACTCTCAAAGTCCTAAAAGATCATCAAAAATCAATCAAATGAATCTTTGAGTTTAATTGAGAAAAATCAGATGCTGCATGTGTAAAATCAAAGGAATGTAATTAAATCATATTCTTATTAAGAATCAAAACCTGTAGTGCCATTTGTTTTTTTAATTTTGTCCAGACATCAAAATGCTCCTTTCTTTGATGTGATAATTATGAGTGGGTTTGTATTAAATATCTATTCTTAAATAACAGTGATGATTAGCAACAGCAGATGCTGCATGTATGAAACAGACATGACAGGAATTAATCATATATTCTCATTAAAAATTAGAAACTGCATTTCTATTTGTTCTTACATTTTGTCCAGACATTGAAATGGCCCTTTCTTTAATATGATAATTATGAGTGAGTTTATATTAAATATTTATTCTCAAACAACAGTGATTATTAACTGGTGACAATTAAAAAACAAGCCATGGGGCTGAAAAGGTTTATTGCATGTCTGGATGAGTTAAGAAACTGTAATTCATTGTGAATTCCTTGAGTTTGGTGAAATAACAAATTGTGAAGTCTACTCTTGGCAATTCACTAGCCTGCATTCAAAAATATAAGTAAGACTACATACAATAGCCATACGAAAAGGAGTCCTACTTTTTCACGGTAAGGCAACTCGTCCAAACAGAAACATGGGAGAAAACACTGAATTCAGAACACCTGCTTCACAGCTAATTTTCCATGCAGGGTTGCTTCAGATTATAATTAATAGACAACAAAAAAAAATTTTGATGATGGGCTATATGGTATGTATCAATATTTGGAGTCTAAGAAATTCAAAAATTATTTACAAATTATTTTCTAGATGGGAAAAAATTATAGACAATAACAGCAATCCCATTACTGACTAACTTTCATGTCTTAAGACATGTTTAAGCTCATGAAATGTTTAAGTTCGTGTCTTTTACTTACTTGACAGTCCTAACTAATGTATCTAGAAACATTTGCATTCAATAGCATTTAAGATTATTAAACTTAATCTACATGGATATGTACTTGAGACTTTAGAATTTTCGATTTCATTTATACAGTTCTACTTTTAAAAATTCATTTATGGTATCAAAACTTTAAAATGTACTAAGGAATCATTTGATTTTTAAAAATTTTTAGTGAAATTTATATAAAAAATTAAACAAATACATTGTGATTATTAATAAACTTGCATATTCACAACATGGACTAGTGAATAATGTGCATAATTATATCGAAGTGCGTGTAAATTATTAAGTATAGGAAATATCAAATTGTAACATTATACTATATCAATGAAGAAAACCATAATTTATTTCATTATGAATAAAAATTTTAGAAACAGCTTGTACAAGAAAAAATTTTAATGTCCACTTCATTTACTTATGTGAAACTCTGAACTTGCAAATTATACCTTATTCTTCAAAATTTCTATTGAATATTTTATTTTTTATGAATTTATACAGTTAAAGAAAAGTCCAAGAATGAGAAAGCAAATGTAATTTAGTGAATTATAAAAGCACAAAATGAAATTATTACTGCATTTCTTTTAACATTTTAAAATGCACATACCGGTTATTGCCACAAGCAAGTAATGATTTATCATCAGTAATTAAAAAAGAACAATCCACTCCACAAAAAACTTTTTCAAGCTTCGATTTGCTTGAAATTTTAACCAGCAAAGGATAAATTTGAAATTCAGCTTTCTTCAATCCAAGGCAACCTATAAATATATGCAACAGTTATTTCTTTTGACAAAGAAATGATAACCAGAAGCAGATTTATGGAATCATGCGAGTTGCAATCATGAAAGCCCTGCTCTCAAAAGAGCTTCAAAACCACTTATTTACTTTATAGCAAACATGCCTTATAGAAAAAGGTTTCCAAATGTTCTGATGCTCCCCTCCTTTCATAAATCTGCCACTTTTAGTAACTGAATATTTTTTCACAGAAAAATAATTAGAACACTAGAAAATTACAGAATAGTATCAAAAAATTTCAAAATGCTTGTTAGCAATTTTATTTTTAGATTTCTGAAAACTAAAAATGCTAGTGGTGTTTTCTATTTATGCACTCCATTCTTATATTAATTATCAAACATTAATTCAAAATATCTGCAAAAGTACACACCTAAAGGCAATAACTTTCAACAATATCACCATGAATAACTACCCAATTCATATGAGATATTTGAATGAATAGATGATGTAGTTAATTTAAAAGACAATTTTTTAATGCCAGAGCTGTTTTTTTTTTTTTTTTTTTTTTTTTTTCCCCACTTGAAAACTCTTCTGACTTCTGCCACTTTTCTATGACTTCTTGCCTGACATAATTTAAGCTTACTATAGAAATCATCCACCATTTTATAAATCCTATTTCTCTCCTGAACCCCCCCCCCTTTTTTTTTTTTCAGATTGATTTGGTATTTACAATTCATTTCCTTCTGCTAATCTTAAAAAAAAAAAAAAAAAGTTTAAGAATGATAAGTGTTTAAAATTATTTGCAATGAAATTTATTGTGTCATTTTTAAGTTCTGTTTCATGAGTTTATATACATTTTTCTTGGCATTTCATTATAAAAGTTGAATTTTATTGTGGTACATAACATTATATTCTTTTATGAGAATTTAAAATTTTATCATAAAAAATGTATCTGTTATAATAATTTCAAATTTTTGAAGTTATAAAACATACTCTTCACTCTCTTTTAAAACAAGAATGGGAAAAGAATATGTATTATGTGACACTGGTCTTTTTTACAAGACTTCTGAATTACATGAAAAGGCCCTTTCCTGAAGATATAGCTTTTTTATTGCCTCTCAATACTGAATAATCCTTTTTCCTAAATTTAAATATGTGTTACTTAAGAAAGAAAATAATATTCATTATACACTGACTACTTAAATGGAAATCTTAATCACATAAAAAACTTCAGTTGAAAATGAATAAATAATAGCATTGCAACATGAAAACCTGTGGCAATCAAATATCCATTCAACAATACGACTTATGCCAAGCCATATAAATTATATAGACAGAGATTATCTAACATCATAAAGAGGGATTACTTTCTTCATTCTTCTGCTGAAATGACTGTTGCAAGATTGGCATGATCTTTGTTAATTTTCAAGGTCAACAAGAAAGTACCCAATTTTTTGTCCTCCTTTGATACAAATCAGATAAGTTTTTTTACTAGAGTTATTTCGTTCAAGTTTTCAAGTCAAGAAAAAAATAAAACATAAGTTTCCTTTAATAACTTTCAATAGCAAACTTTCAAAATTTAACTGTAAAAATTAACTAAAAAGAATAATAAATAAATAAATACAAATTAATGTTCTGATTACTTAATTTTATTTCTATAAATACAAAATAAACACATTAAAACAGTAATATAACTCCTGATAGACATAAGAAAAGATTTAAGCATAGTTGTATTTGCTTATGATCAACATAACAAAAAGTTATAAAATTACATATATCATTACCATGAGTATTATAACCCCAGGCAAAAACATCATTCTCATCAGAAAGTGCTAACACATGCCTAGGACCACATGCAATTGATTTTATATTGTAGCTAAAGAGAGCTGCTAGAATTCTAGGCTAGAGAAAAAATAATCATAACATTAAACACAAAGAGTATATAGTGGGAATTTCATCAATGATACATACAATAATATGTTTTACATGATGCTAGAGTTTCATTTAAATCTCTAAAATTTTTTAATTAACATTCAAACACAACTAAAAAAATAAAACTATTTATTAGTAATGTAATCACCATCATTGTCTGCAATCTCTGCCTATCTGGAAACCGGGGTGACAGCACCACATTTGAAAAACTGATGTTTCCTAGAGATATGCAACAAGCAAATGGTGTATTGATCAGCCTAAAGAAATTATGTCTGGGAGTAACTGTGTAATTAATAACTATGTGATTATTAATTATGTTAGTTGGGGTAGGAAATCTCAACTGAATTCCATGATTTTTTTGTTGCATACTTTAGAAAGAATAAAGCTGTGTACATATACCACTTAATATGTTTTTCATTCGATAAATCAATTTTCAATCCATTAATCACAAAATTGCAAATTTAGTATGGTTTAACACACACCTCCATAAGAAGTACTTAAACACTAATAATTTTATTCTGATCTAAACGAAATTTAGAAGTCAAACAACAGAAATCAGCGTTATATTTACAAAATTTTCACAGGACTAGTTTCGATGGTTTTACCGAACCACCATACTCAGCTGCAAAACCGCAAATGAACAAGATAGGAAATAATGATTAGATAAGATAAGAAAGCCTGGACAAGAATAAGCAAGTGGCGCCATCTGTTGGTGAAACCAGAACTAAAACATAATTTCTTTAAAGGCCGAAGGCAAATTTGGATTGGAATTAGGATCGTTAACTAGAACAGAAAGATTTTTATGAATGTGAAATGCCTCTAGAAAATCCAGTTCTCCAATGGAAGATGTTTTTTGAATAATTTTGGCAGCAGAAAAATTGAAAGTGTGGGTTTTCGGACCAACAATGTGAGCAACAGAAGACTTCTGTGTTTCCTTTTTTCTGACATATGCCTCATGTTCCTTGACTCGAAATTTTTTAAGGCTCTCTTAGTTTGGCCAATGTAAATTTAAACACACTGGCAAGGAATCCTATAAATACCCCAGGAATTCATATCCGGAATGGGGGTCCTTGAGTATGGAAATCGGAATTTTATTGATGGGAGAATAAACAACCCGAAAGTTAAATGTCTGCAAAATATGTGCAACTTTATAGCTAATTGATGGAAAAGAAGGGAATGACAACAGAATTTTTATAATCTCCTAAAACAAGAGTATGCCTTTTAGTGTGTGAGATGAGAATTTTTTAACTGCTTGTTAATAACGTTGGGTGAATGAAAAGCCCCTGTCAATAGCTATTGCTTTTAAATAATTTAGTTCTTCATCAAGGGCTAGTTTGGAGGAGCAAACTTGAAGAGCACGGAAAACATAGGAATGAAATGAAGCTAACTTTTGTTTAGTCGGATGGTTCGGTAAAACCATCGAAACTAGTCCTGTGAAAATTTTGTAAATATAACGCTGATTTCTGTTGTTTGACTTCTGAATTAGTATTTATTCGGCATGTTATTGTGTCTTAATTAAACGAAATTTCTTAGAAAAAAGTGCGGCCAGAAAATGATGGCAACAGCATTTACGAGTGGGCTGATATTACAAGTGTCATTTCAAACATATTATATCATAAAGTACATTCTTGCTTCTCATAAAGTACATTCTTGCTTCACATCTCAGTTTAAATTAAATTATTCATATATTTACATGCTTATTAATTCTATTCTATTTGAATAATGAAATATCATATATAGGATGATCAGATACACTAAACCAGCAATTCTCAACCAGTGTTACATAAGAGAAAAATAGGTGGTATGCAAAGAAACAAAGAATTCTGACTATTAAATTCAAAAATTAAATGCCCCAACATCCTGTTAAAGTCTTTCTCTAACTCTCATAAATTTATATGATCTGAGTTTTGATAAAGGTCAACATCCACTCATAGATTTTAGCAAAATGCTCAGTTTTTATATTCACAAACATTCTTCTAGCCACAGACATAACACAATTTGTCATAAATGATATTTCAAAAGGAGTAACACAAATGGATGCTGTATTTAATAGGAAATAAAAAATAAGTTCCTATAAAAACATAATAATATATCATTAATTCTTCTAAAGTTGATCAATTTATTAGCATGTCTACACTTTACGTGACCACAATTTCCAGGCTCACATTGCACTATTTTCAATTAGAATCATATTTTTATGTCGATTTGCTGTCCCTAACAGCACGTATTTTGTCTTCTTTTTACTTTGTATTCCTCACTTTTTTACACAATTTGAGAATATCATCGTTTGTTTTTAAAGAACTTATAATATATTGTGCATTTAAATATTTATGAAAGAATGATAAAACAAACCTAGATTTTCATAATGGAAAAAATGGCTAGGATTAACTAAGCGGAAAAATGATGATTCACAGGTGATGGATAAAGGAGAATTTACTAGCACTACGAATACTGAAAAAGAAAGGAAAACGTTTTCTAGAAAATACAGTCAAAAGTCGTTAATTCGGACACCCATAATCCGGACCTCAAAGCTAAAAACTTTCTGCGCATGCGCTGCGTTGGCACATGCGCACAGGCATTTTACGCATGCGCGTAAGACCTTGACTACTGCGCATATGCGTGTGCACAAGTGCAGAATACGTTTTCGCCTGCGCGTTTAATGTATAACGGACGGTGTAAGCTAAAATTATCTAATTATATATTTCAGCTAATGTTAATGATTGCATTGTTCCTTAAACTTCGAATTGGATCCTGCTTATTATTTTTTGCAGACTGTAAGAGCAATTTTATAAAAGTAAACTTGAATTTTCGATTATGTCAAATAGAATTTCCGATGCTGGAACTTCCAAAGGATCTACAAAACGAAGTATGTTTCGATGTCCAACAAAACAAAAGTGGAATTGCTGCAAAAAATGGATAAAGACACGAAGAATGTGACAGAGAGGTTAGTGAAACGAAAAAAATTTCGATTGACAAGTTAGTCGCTATTCTCGGCACAGCAATTAACGGGACTTGAACAGCGGAACTTTGTAACTGAACAAGAAATTATGTCTGTTTATAGAATTAAAGAGAAAGTATTATCACATAAAACGAAGCAATTTAAACAACTTACATTGAAAGAAATGTTTAATAAAGTAAACAAATAAATATTAAGCTTTTTTTTTTTTTTTTTTTTTTTTTTTTTTTGTAAATTTTGATACCCTTTAGATCATAATTGCTCAATATTTTATAAATTACGGTTTCATATTTTTAATTTTAGAATTTCTGCATGCCATCTTACCAGATTTAAACTGATGATCTATAATCCGGAAAAATCGATAATCCGGAATCGCCGAAGTCCCGACGAGTCCGGATTAACGACTTTTCACTGTATAATGAAAGTTATTTATCATTTGGGCTTACTTAGAACGAAGATGAAATGGATCCTTAACCTCAATGGGTTGTCTGTGGTGAACTATTATCCTCAAGGCAAGAAACCATTGTTTCTTAACCCATTAACCGCCAAAAGGAATGTTTCTTTTCTCAAGAACATAATAACAAATACTAAATTAAGCATTTATAAAATTTACATTGAAAATTTAAAAAATGCTCTTACCTGTGGAAAAAGTGAGTGTTGCGTTCATGCAACGTCAGCGGAATAAGACTACGGATGTTTAGTGAGTAGGATTGGACTCGTGTGATGTTTCTTTTGAGTGGAGCACAGGATCACTTTTTAGCTGTATAACGTTTTAAAATCTACAAATCACTTTACTTGTAATTAATTTAATATTAAAATATACATTTATTTCTTTTATAAATACAGATTATTTCATTTGAAGATTCAAGCATGAAAAGCTTGATTATAATCATGGTGTAAGCTACATTACATACTTTGCATCTATAAACAGTCTGGCTATGGTATCTTTACACAGTCTTTGTTATCAACGGACTTACAATAAAATGTCTACCATCTCCATGCAATGGTTTTTGAATGCTGAATTTACTAGGTCTTCCTGTGCTGATCTATTTCTGGCTAATTTTACACTCTCAATAGGAGTTTGCAAAAGGAATAATGCTTTCTGTCTGAAATCTGAAAGAGACTATATTTCCAGTAGTAAAAAGTGGTGATATTTAGTAAGTTTAGATACGGTCTCCCTTCATATAATTTATCAGTATTGTCAAATGCAAATTCTGCTTCATATTCCTGTACTGCAAACGTGATATCAATTCTCGTACAACAGGAACAGAAATGTCCTTATCAAAAGACCAATACATTTTTTCTTGAGGTAAAGAATGATATCCTGTAAGCAATTATATTCCAATAAATCTTCTCATATAGGCTTCAAATGCAATAAATTCTGGGTTTTTCTTTTTTTTTTTTTTTTTTTTTTTTCCCCTGAGCATATATAGTTGTCTGTTCAACGAGAAGAGAGTAAATGTCTAAACCAAAAAGAAAATAGAAAATCTGTGCACTAGTTTTACCTTGTGTTTTGTCTTTTATAATTTCTCTTCTATCTCTTTCTTTGTGTTCTTTCTGAGGACATAACTACAGTTCCTTTTTTATCCACTTCAAGATTCAGTCTTCTTTTTTAAACTTTTTAGTAGACTATAACTGCTTTTCGAGGCTGAAATTACTTCTACTGAATTTCCCCCGGAGTATCTTTGGTAAAAATATCATTTATCCTATTTCCCATTGCCTCCTTCTTTTCGTTGCCTCCAGGGAACAATCAAAATCCGTTTCATTTTGGTCAATTTTAACATAACATCATCTGTTCTTCCAAAAAATTTTGCAGGGCTTCTCTAATGAGATACTCATTAGACATTTTTCACCCAGAAACATCGAAGGAATAGTGAAAAAGGAGATGATACCCTTTATGCGCCGTTGCATCACGCAACACCTGTTTCCCCTTCCTTCCCAACACAATAAAACTTGACTGATGTAATGTTGATAAATGTGACCTGACTAAAAATAGATCACTCATAAAGACCGAGATTCTTTCGTTAAATATTTTCAGCAAAATCCGGTCAAAAATTTTGCTTAAAGTATGAGATTAATTATTTATACAAAATGGTTGTTGAAGGCAAAATATTTTTTACAGAAATAATCTTCATAATATTCCCCTACACAAAATCATCTGCTGGTATAAAATCTTAGTAGTTATATTTCTACACTTTATTTTGACCGTTGCGTCAACACAATACCAGCGGCTAATGGATTAAAAGACATCATGAATCTAAGCATACCAATTCAAAGGATGAATGTAAAGAGGAAATTATCAGAGTTCAAAAGTAGTAAAGAAGTAATGAAAGGTTTTGTTGCTTCATGTAAAAAAGCCTTGGAAGCTAGTTCCCTAGTAAGCCTAAAAATTGCCAAGACAAAGCAGGCTTACACTATTGGAGACAACCTTATATTGCCAGAAGCTAAAGGTATCGTTTCAACATTATTCAATGAAAATGAGGCTAATGAACATAATAATATTGCATTATCAAATGATACAGTAAATCAAAGAATTCACGAAATGGCAAATTACATTAAAAATGCACTTGTTCAAAAAATAAAACACAGTAAGTTTTTCACATTGCAACTGGACGAAAGTACTGATATAATGAATTTTGTTCAATTATTAGTTTACATATGTTTGGAAGCAGATAAACGAAATGGCAAAGAGTATTTTGTGAATCTCTTCATGATAGAGCAACTGCAAATGCGATTTTCAAAGTAAATGACAATTTTATATCTGAGACTGATATTCCTTGGAATAAGTGCATTGCCATATGCAGTGATGGAGCTTGGGCTTCAACAAGAAAACATTTTGTGTTATTTCTCAAATAAAGAAAGTCACACCTGAAACTAATTTTATGCACTGCTCCATTCATTGTGAAGCTTTAGTAGCAGAAACAATCTCCCAAAACATGAAAATTATTTTGAAAATTCAAGAATATTTATGATTTTATGCCAAAAGATGTGCTGCGAACATGAAACGCTTTTGTTATATTCTGAAGTACGGTGGTTATCCAAAGGCAAAATTTTAAATCATATTTTTGAACTTTGATCAGAAATTCAAATTTTCTCCGTGATTCAAAATTTTAATTACAAAAATGTTTATTTAGTGAATTATGGTTGGCAGATTTAGCATATTTAGCTGATATTTTTGGAAACTTAAATGAATTAAATTTAGGATTACAAGGACAAAGTGTTACTTTGTTTACCACTAGAGATAAAATAAATGCAAAGATAAAAAAACTAGCAATAATAATCAAAGAATTGAATAATAATATTTTAAGTTTTTTTTTCACTTTTAGAAAGTTTTCTAACCAAAAATAATTTGAAAATAAAAGAAAAATTAGCATCCAACATTAAAAATCATTGTTTTTCATTGATAAATACGTAGCGTATTTGTAAACTAAATACCGTTTCCTTCTAGCACCGTCGCAGCGCTGTGGTAGGCGTCCCGCACATGCGCACTAGTCTTTCTTGTTCACTGACTTTCAATTGTCGCCTTTTTGGTTGTTCTATGTTGTGTTTTCAGTTTGCTGTGCACATGCAAAATGTTTAAGACAATTAGTTCTCCCGCTGACTATGAGATTCGTGCTGTGATTAAATTTTTGAACGCGACGAATGTTAAACCGGCCGAAATGTATCGTCAAGTGACAGAAGTTTACGGTGAATACGCGATAACTGATGGAATGGTGAGAAAGTGGGTAAGAATGTTTAATGCAGATCGAACAAATGTCCCGCTGGGCTCGGCGGTCGGACTTCGTTGTCACGATGATTTGGTAAGGAAAGTTGGTGAAGCAATTCATGAGAACGACACTTCACAATGACAACTCTTTCGAGGCTTTCCACAAACTGTTTTGTTCGAAATTGGTCTGACCACTTGAATTATCGCAAACTGTGTTCCCAATGGGTTCCAAAAATGCTCACTGATGTTCACAAAACAAAGCGACTTGGTAGTGCCCTGAATTTCTCACACGGTACAGTGATAGGGAGAAAACTTTTTAAACCAAATTGTGACAGAGATGATGAAACCTGGGTGTGTCATTTCACCAGAATCGAAACAACAATCGATGGAGTGGAGACACACTCATTCTCCAAAAAAATAAAAGTTCAAAGTGACAATGTCATCACAAAAAATCATGTGTACTGTCTTCTGGAATAGGTAAGACATTTTGCTTACTGAATTTCTTCCCAGAGGTGAAACCATTAATGCGGCACAATATTGTGAGACTTTAACAAAACTAAGGCATGCCATTCAAAACAAACGAAGAGGAATGCTCAGTAAAGGAATTGTGTTGCTCCATGACAATGCTCGGCCCCATACTGCTGGTGTCACTCAATCGTTAATTCGACAGTTTCATTGGGAGCAGTTCGATCACCTGCCGTACAGCCCGGACTTGGCGCCGTCCGACTATCATTTGTTCCTGCACATGAAGCGCGAGCTTGGTGGCAAGCGCTTTGATCTGACGATGACACGAAACATGCTGTGGAGTCGTTGTTATCGAAACTGGCAGAAAGTTTTTTTGACGATGATATACAAAAACTAGTCACCCGCTATGACAAGTGTTTGATCATTGGCAGAAACTATGTTGAAAAATAGTTATATATAAATAGACATGTATTTTCATGTAAAAATAAAATTGGATTCGAAAAAGTTTTACTATTTTTCTTTTTCAAAACGGTACTTAGTTTCCGAATACGCCTCGTAATTTCAGCATGTATTTTCCAGAGGATTATGAAAAGAAAACTGGATTAGAAATCCATTTTGTTTATTCGTAACTGAATTTTTTTCTTGTGAAGATAAATGCAAGATAAATGCTGCAAAAAGATGTATTTAAAATAAAACTACATAAAATATTAAAAAGAATAAGAAAAATCCCCAAATTTATTTCCTATTAAATTGCAAATATGCAAATACAGTTTAAAAAAAAAGTACCTGGAGTATATCTTTTCGTGACATTAAGCCCAAGCATCCAGATGAAACTTTTCCAAAAGTATATACAACACCAGTATCTAAAATATTAGAATATTATATAAAAGTATTAATAAGTGCTTGGAAAATAATAATGTAAAATTCAACTGACTTAAAAGTGATTCAAAAGTATTATTTGTATAAATAATTTTAAATATATTCTTGCTCTAGTTCAGTGGGCTTCAAATTCAGTTCCAAAGAACCCCTGGGTTCTACGAGTCAAACCCTGAGGTTTCGCAAGTCAAAATAAAAACTTTAAAAGAAAATCATAAGGCACTCACACTAGTTGATGAGTGCTTATTACCTAAAAAATATAAAGATGTGTTTAGTTATTTTTGAAATACAAGCACAGCCTAATCACTAAATATAATGCAAGGGTAAGTAACACAACAGCACACATATGCTATTAATGAGAAAATTACATTGATTTTATATTAAAATTATTTAATAAAAACACAATACTTTAATTATCTTACATAGAATACCTATAATGTATTGATTTACTTTATGTACATTTAAGACTTTTTCTAAGGGTAAGATGGGCTAGTGTGCTGCAGCAATATTGTCTTCTCCCAATATTTATGTGATTTTCTATAAATAAAAGCACCTGAATATGCATTTTTAACATTCAATATAATTTTTTAACTTTTTAGGGTGGCTGAATGGCATGACATTTCATGCATCACTCGGTTAAAAAAAAACAGGTCAAAAGAATATATTGTTGCTTCAACAAAAAATAATATGTCCAGAAAAAGGGGCAACTTTTTTCAGGGAGAGGCAGGAGAATAGATTTATAAGAATTTTACCATATGATAGATGCCTGTGCATGCTTGCATTGTTCCCCATTTTGATCCCACATAAAACATTTTCTAAGTTATCTTTTTTATTTAATGGTGTTTTAATTTCAAAATGGGCCTATTTTAGAATTCAATCTTTTGTAGTAATAATAATTAATCACAGAATATTCCAAAAAAAAATATTATAAACACACTTTGAAATTTTTAACAACTTTTTTTAAGCACAGTTTTAATTTTTAATGCCCATGCTTAATGTTGAAATTTGGTTTTTATTGTTTATTTGATCAGACAATATGCCCTGGCATTAATCAAACATAGTCATGGATCTTTTAGAAAATTTAAGTGAATTAGATAAATGTCATGCTGTGAAAACTAATGTTTAGCAAGAAAAATTAATTTTTAAATGCTGTTGGTGAAAAGAGAGCATAGCACAAATTATAACAAATGTAATTATTTCTAAGTGATAAATCTGAAGGTATTGAGAAAATATAGAATAAAATTTAAACTGAGAAGAGTCTTAATTTAAAAGTGAAAAAAATGTAAATAATAATGTAAAATTATAATTATAGTTTTAAAATCGCATGTTACCTTCAGAAATTTGGCATTTGAGAGGCAGTATACTTGGGAAACTGATATAAATAAATTTCACTTCATTCCACATTATTTGAAAATATGAAAACAGTACATCACATAATCGACAAACCATCTCTATAAAGATACCTATATCAATCAATGGTCAAATGGTTAAAATTGATAAACACTGGTAACTCAACCCATATTCAAATATCAGCTCATGAACTGACTGTATGAGACTTTTTGTTTTTTCTATGAAAAACCTAAATATAAGCCAATTTCATTTAGAAAGTTTACCATAAAGATATCACCCTTTAGGAATAAAAGATTTCATAAACTTTGCCTTAATTAGCAACTTAACCTATGATACTTCAAGCGCAGAACTGAAAATGAAGGATAAAAGCCATTAACTAACTAGCAATGATGGTCTATTTTCTGCAGGATGGAAAAGGCTGACACTACTTTCATGACCAATTCCAGATATACATACCAAACTGCACTTAACACAAAATGAAATCTTATCTTCCATTAAATGTTTTTTGTCAGAGCAATGACATTGTTTTCAATGCAGTGGGATTAACTTTCAACAGGACGTGCCTGTTGTGTGGCCAGGCTAACATGACTGCAAACTAATCTATAATTGTCCTGACCTTAATGACATTGCAGATAGTAATTCTGCAGATGTTGAATTTTTTCAGGGGAGGGGGGGGGCTTGTCTGAAAATTTTACTGGGTTGCTCAATAAAGACTAAGGGCTAAAAAGCACAGGACTGGCATGGGATTAAAAAAAAAAAAGAAAAAAAACTTTGAATGGGATTAATACTTTATTACGGCTTCTCTCAGATAGCTACTCAACATTCACTTTCTAAGACACTGAGACGAGGAGTTGTAGAAAACAAACCAGGATGACTTTATCTAATACTAATAGACTTTTTATTATTGGGATATATTAAAATATACAACAAAATGGATTAGTCATAATCATGCTGAAAATTTCCAAAAATATATATACAGTACAAAGTCCGTAATCCGGACTCATCGGGACTTCGGCGATTCCGGATTAGGGGTTTTTCCGGATTAAATATCATCAATTTAAATCTAGTAAGAAGCATGCAGAAATAATTCAACTAAAAATATGAAACCATAATTTATGAAATAAAGAGCAACCATGATCAAAATTTACCAAAAAAAAGCTTAATATTTATTTGTTTACTTTAGTAAACATTTCTATGAATGTAAGTTGTTTAAGTTGCTTCGTTTTTTGTGCTAATACTTTCTTTTTAATTTTATAAACAGACATAATTTCTTGTTCAGTTACAAAGTTCCACTGTTCAAGTCCTGTAATTGCTGGATCGAGAATACCGACTAACTTGTCAATCGAAATTTTTTTGTTTTCAATAAAGTTCTCTGTTACTTTCTTTACTATCAGAAGCGTGCATGGGTAAACGCTTTACTGGCTTTACGCGCATGCATAAGTTTATGGCTTTGAGGTCCGGATTATAGGTCATTGTGGATAATGGACGTCCGGTTTAGAGACTTTGTACTGTATACTCTGCTTAAGGTCTTGTTTGTATAATATAAAAATTATGATAAGGGATTCATACCAGATAAGGAAACTGTAAAATCTTTCCCACATGCAACAAAAGAAATGTTTACAGCAAATTTTTCATCCACTATAGATGCTATGTATGTATTTTCAGCTGATGATTCTAGCTGATCTGCTTTGCTCGTTGCACTACATGATTTTTGCCTTGCCTTTGGACATAAATAAAAATACATTTGACTATAGAAATTGCTATAATATAAAAAGTATAGACAGCATTATCTGTAAATATATCTCAAATTATAATTTTTGCATTTGTTTTATTTCTAAATTTGAAAATAACTTCAATATTTTATTTAAATAATGCCCAACTGGTTTAATTAAAAGAAGCATTGCATCCTGTAATATAAAACTATCTTGCTAAAATTTCTACACATTTTCTATGCTGAGAGAGACAGGAAGAAATGATTAAAAACTATGATTATGATGATTAAAAAATATTACACTGCAAATTTAAGCTAATCTATAAGTATTGTATTCTATAATGCAACTCTAATTTATTGAAAATTTTTTACATAATTTTCGATACATATAAGTACTGAAGTATGATAAAAAGAATAAATAAAGTAGATTAAGGTTAATATATAAATTATACGTAAAACACTTAAAACAGTTGCTATAATCACAATATTAGATATCATACCAGAAAATGAGATTGGGATTTCCAACTTATAAGCAATCCATTTCGTGTTAAACCAATTTTCTGATTTGACCCCAATGAAACGCTCTTAATATCACCTTTAGGAGGAGATGGAAGCAAAAGTATACTTGAAGATTTATTATCCAGGTACCAAGTATTAAAGTTTCTTTTCTTTTTCACAGAATTTTCATCTGACATAAAGAGATCAGAATCTGAAATATAACAGAAAGATCACATTTACAGAAATAAGAAAACATGAAAGTGGTTAAAAAACATAGATCTAGCATATTTCACGATACAAAATACATAAATATAAATTTAATTGATCTCATTAAATTTAATTGATCTCATACATTTAGTATTGATAAAAAATCTGATTTAAAAAAATTAAAACAATTACTATTTTAAGCCTAAAATGAAATGTGTCTTTTTTAGGTTCCTCACATAATAAAAAATAAATATATATTATGAAATATAATTTAAAATGTATACATTAGAAAGCTTTTGGGGTAATAATGAAATATAAATTACAAAATTAAAAATTATAACTGAATGACAGAATCTTAAGTAACACACTTGTATTTCTTAATCATTAACTATTTAATTTACAGTTTTAAAATAGTAGGTCAGCTTCGGTATTTAAATATTTTATAATTTCTTTTATTACAATTTGCAGCTTAAAGATATCTTTGCAATGGCAATTTTGAAAGTTAAAACATTTGTTTTTGAGCAAAACTTTGTGCGTAATATAATTTAAATTTTAGTATCATACAATTTCTTGTTTTCTTTCTATGACCTCATGAAGGACAAAAACCTGCAGTCCCAAAAATTTCACAAAATATTAAAATTTGTTATTTTGGAAATGCTTTTTTATCTGCAGTTCATCATCACCAATCATATTTATCTTCTTCAGAAATATTTTCTTTGCTTTCTTAATCATGCATTTTTTAGAGGGAACCATAAAAGCCCCCTCCTCCCCACATACTCATGCACCAGAAAAATGACTAGCATTTTCAGTGAAAAGAATTAGCCTAATAGCTACGTGACAACTTTTATGAATATCAGTGCCAGAGCAGCAGCCTGGAAGCAGTAATGTATGTTATGCATGCCACTGTAAGCAATCTGTTTGAAGTTTTTTGTCAGAGTTAAGCCCTATGAACAGCTGATTGGTCGATAACGTAGTATCAGTGGATTCGTCGATGTTATGTTGTATATATACATGGAGATCGTGAGCATGAAAGAGTTTGCTGGTTTTCTTTTCTCATCTGTTGTAAGGTTACCATTACAGCCTAGTTTATTTTATTTAAGGTCATGAAATAAAGATTAGTTTTATTTTTATATTAGTCCGGGCATTTATTTAAGCAAAGTATGCTTTTGCAACTGCTCAAATGGCAACAAGCTGAAGTGTGATTGACTGAAGGCATGTGATCTTCAGCAATGAATCCCAATTCAGTCTCAGTGAATGACCAATGCACACACACATGGAGGCAGCTAGGCCAGCGGCCCGATATAGCATCTGTTGTCGAGTGGCATACGGCGGTTACACAAGGTGTGACACTGTGGGAAGCGATTTGTTGAGACACACGATCACCTCTAGTCATCCTTCAAGGCACTATAACAGCTCGCAGTTATGTGGACCACATTTTTACACTGGGTGTACAGCCTATACCAGCAGTTCTCAATCTTTTCACTAACACGCACCTTCTAATCCAAAAACTGAAAATCTTTAGCACCACCACATTTTACAATGATTTTTTCAATTTCTGAATAGAAATATTAAATAATAATAATAATAACAATAATAATAAAATATGAAAGCTTTCTGATTTTACATTACGCCCAAATGGACGCTTTTTTAGTCTTTTGCATGCTATCTTTATTTGCATGTTCTTCACACTTAAACCATAAAATTCAATTCAACAGCAATATCGCAAAATAATTTTAAAATAAGCATATCTTTAGAATTTCCTATTCACTGTCTCGCACACTGGAGATAAAAAACCTTAAATAAAGCTCAGATCACATAAATTTAGGAGTCTTGGAGAAAAACCTCAATCAGGATGTTGAGGTTTTAATTTTTGGATTTGTTTTATTATTTTTTCACAAATATTTAAATGCACAACTTATTACGAGTTTTTCAAAAACAGATGACGATAGTTAAAAATACTTTGCTTCTTTGTGTACCACCTATTTTTCTCCTGCGTACCACCGGTTGAGAACCCCTGGCCTATACTATCAAGTCGTCCAGGTGCTATTTATCAGCAAGACAACACTCGTCTACGTACTGCATGAATTTTCCAACAATGTTTTCAAGAATATGACGTACCCCTGAGACCTCTCGCCAATAGAGCATGTTTGGGACATGCTTGGAAAGGAATTACAGCCATCCCAGAATATTGGTGAATTAACTGTCTAGTTGCAAAGATTGTGGCATGATCATGGTTCAAATGTGACCTACTTGATTTGATGCCATGCCGTGTTTCAGCTTGTATAGCTGCCAGAGGTGGCTATACTGCTTACCGATTTGTAACCTTTTTCATGCAGTAATTTCTTAATAAAATAATCTGTTGTTCAGAATTTGTAATTATTTGTTTACATCTTCATACACTATACAAATATTAAGTTTCATGATACTAATTCATTTCCTTCTAGCTGTATATCTTTTCTTTTTTTTTTTTTTTTTTTTGTGTGTGTGTGTGTGTGTGTGTGTGTGTGTGTGTGTGTGTGTGACAGAGTGTATAATATATTTAATATAGATTTTAGAAATATGTGTTTAATTAATATTTCATTGAGAATTTTATTACATAGCAGTAAAACTAATTTAAGCACAATATATGGCATAGTCAAACTAATAGAATTTGATGTAATAAAAATGAAAATTTCTAAGATGGTTGACTTATTTTATGCCTCTACAAAACTGAAGGTACACTTTGATCAAAATTTTAAAACATTATTTACACAAAAAAAAATTATGCATTTACTCCTTTTTAAAAATATTATTTCATTAAAGAACAGTAGCTTAATTTTACCTCTCTAATGAATACACTGTTTAAATCATTGTAGTAGTGAAATGAAAATTAAAATGATTAGAAATATACATATGTATAGATATGTATGTTAGAAATATATGTATATATGTATCCATGTATAATTTGAAAAGACATTGAATCAAAGCTAGACTTAAAATTTAGATCTAAAAGTGGTAAACTTACACATAACAATAGCAAAGACTGTGTTATACATCACTTAAATACAGCTATATAAGAATTTTTTAACTCTAATATCAGCTAAATTAATGACATATTTTATCCTTACACCAATACAACTTTTAAAAGGCTCAGAAACTATTGCATATTTTAAACACAAACATAACATCTAAGTAAACTGTAAATTTGCTTGATTAATTAGTTAAAATAAATATTTTAGTTCAATTAATACAGTTCTTATATTAATTGATACAGACTTACTGTTCCTATAACAATCGTCTTCCTGTATGTATTGCATGTCATTGTTCGTTCCATATAAATTTTGATAAAAGTCACATTATTTATTCCTGCATCCTTCATACTCTAATCACTTAGTGTGCCCATCATTCTCTAATCCACTCCTACAACCATAATTATCTTTACCACCATAATCATCTGAAAATCACATTTCCAATTGCAGCACTTCCCCTAATTCTAGAGCTAAGGGCAATAAATTTATTTCTGATAGTTTTCATTAGTTTTTTCTTACATGTTTTTAAGGGTATCAGGATAAGTTTTCACATATGGTCAACAAAGACTGTGAAGAAGGAAAATAAAAATAAATAACAGATTGCTTTGAGCTCCGATTAAAATTAGGAAGTTCTACATAAAATTAAGGCATTTTTCTGTGCAACAACGTGGATCATGGAAATATTTTAAACCTTAAAAAGTTATATTTTTAGCTAAGACACAGTTCAGACAAGAAGCAAAAAATAACGCATGATTTTTTGTTGTTGTTGTTGCTAAAGAGCACATTTTTAAAGTATGGTGTTCCTGTTGAAATTAATAAGTGTTATTATTTATATAGCATAAAGCTTTCTTGGCTTCTTCATTTATCATTTTTTAACTCCACCCTCCTGGCCTATTAGTGGCTAAGAGATAAAGTTGCTTAACACTGGTAATTTGATCCAGGGTTTGAATCTCAGCAAACAGACTGACTATATAGGTCTTTTTATGGTTTCCTCATGTGTAATATATATATGAGCCAGTTTCCTTTAAAAAGTCCTCCATGAAGGCATCCTTCCCCTTAGTCAGATAGCCCTCATGTGCTTTGATAACTGATGTGCTTGATTCATCTGAAAAATTATTAAATTTATATGGACTGCATGAGATCAAGATATCTTCAAGTAATATGAATAGCTAGAAAAAGACTTCCAAAAAAATAACTATTCTCAAGTTTAAATAATTTCAAATCCAAAATATTTCATTCTACCTGAGGAAAAAAAGTATACAGGAAACTTGACTTACCAGATTCTAATTTTAATTCACTATCATCCAATATATTCTCATTTGCAAATGATGATCCTGATGGCAACCTTTAAGATTTAAAAAAAAAAAATCTATGCATAAAAAGTTTCAGTGCCCAAAAAAGATTGAAACTGAAGAGATTATGAAAAGTAAATACATTAAAAAATAACAAAATAAAATTTTTAAAACATGTAATTCAATTAAATAATACAAATCTTGGAATGAAGACTGCTGACTACTATGAAATTTGTCCTTTGTTTAACCCTCCTAATATCCAAAGATTTGACCCCAATATTCCGAAGTTTCCAAAACACCCACAAGAAGCTATTTTTCTTGCTAATATATCCAAAATGGTCCTATTACTTTGTACTTGGTTTTTCTTTCTCGCTATATGATGACCTAAATAGTTTGGGAAAATTTCAAGATGCATGTAAATGCAAATCCTTAAATTACTAAGACAAATGCTGTTGAATAAATATGAATTGTTTCAATGGTTGGACTACTGTCATTTAACATACTAAATCCTTCACTTAAATTTTCGCAAATGTCTTTTTTATACTTCATAAGAATATTAGAATTGCAAACAACAATTAAATAATAACTTGCAAATGTGATTATGAAATAAATTCAAAATTCCCATCTGACAGAACAGAACACTACAAAATGTTCTACTTTGCAAAGCTTTAAAAAAAATAAATAAATAAATAAATAAATATTTCACTTTACTTCTATTTCTTTTGACTATATTTATTGGATCTTGAACTATGCAAAGTGACTTTTTATCATCTCCTTTAAACAATCAGTTTACACAGCAACACACCAGTTCCCACATATCTGCTATTACTAGAATGTGTATTTAAATCCATTTTAGGTGATACATAATCTTTTATGGTTCATAGTGGATCTTGCCACTGCTGATAGCCCTGAACGTGAAGCTATCCACAGCACTCCACATCTTGGCATACTGCAATATGATGTTTCTTCTGCTCAGAGATCAGCAGATTGGGGGAAGGGAGGCTGGCAATAACATGCAGCATGTTCAGTTCCAATGAGAGAACTATCTGCATTGGCCAACTGGACTATAGAATGCATCAACAATGTTTGCAGTGTTGCAGATCATCCTCCAACGATGTGCAAAAATTTCTGAATTAATTCCACATTTTCAGGGATAATGCTCTTGGAAGGTCTTCCAGATATAGTTCATCTTCAATGGATATTTTCCCCCCTTTGAAGGCCATATGCAACTCGAAACATTGTGTACAACTCATTGCTTCATCACTGTAAGTTTGTCTAAATACATATAATCACTAACACCCAGGGCTTAATTTCTAAGATTAGAAGTGCCGGAGCCCTATGAAAGACCGTCAGCAGAGAGGAACAAGAGTAAATAAATAAATAAAATGACTATTAAACTCATTAATAATTTAAAATTAAAATTAATTATTATATAAATTTATTATAGCTATTTTTTTAATTAATGTTTATAATTGTTATTTAACCCGGGAAGACGTGGGGTTTATCGGCACCCCACGCTCAAATTCGCTGGCAATCTCCCCCTATAATGCGAAATGCTTAGGTCCATCAGTAGCTGCCTTCAAGGTCATGTTCTATACGTCTCGACAGGAAACGGCAAATTCCAAGCATTTATTGTTGTTTAAATAATAGTTTAGCGGTGTACCGACACCCCACGCGCGCTTTCGTGTTACTATTTTTCAGTGTGAGCCATGGTGTGTGCAAGTCTCTCTGTTCGGTCTTTTCCTCATTTGACGTATGATCAAGAAACGAAAAGACTTGAAAAATTATTAGAGGGTGTTTCGTCGGATGACGATTCGATAGAAGAAGAATTAGAAGATTCAGAACATAAAGATATATTTAGTGATCATGAGTCTGAATCAGAAGAAGAGTGCGACTCCTCAGAAGTCCTTGGGATCAAACTGACTATTTTATAGGAAAGGATAAAAATTAGCTCCAATAAGAGATTTATTTGAAAATTTTGTCAAGAATTGATAGAAATTATATCATGTAGGGGAATACGTGACTTTGAAAGAAAAGCTAGAACCTTTTCGAGGACGATGCTCCTTTCGGCAGTCATACCTAGAACCTGCAAGATATGGTATAAAATATTGCTTGTTTGATTCTAGAACCTTCTATTTCATGTCAGCAGCCAGAAGGGCCGTACAAGATAGTCAACAGTTCTAGTGAAACACAGCACATCCTAGCTCCATTATACAAATCTGGAAAAACTTTACTACAGACAATTGGTATACCAGTTATGAATTGGCCAATTTCTTACAGAAAATGATTTGATGAACCATAAAAAAAGGAAAAAAATATATATATAATACAGGAGATGTTACATGTGCTGAAGGAAAAAAGACAGAAAATCAAAAACTGTATATGTGAAGTGTAAAAAACATATGTCAAAAGCACTGTGAAATAGTAGATGCTTCATGTATATATTACAAGATATCTAATGCTTCTTGAGCCTAATTGATTTGAATATTATTATATAACTCATTGTTCATATAATAATTCTGCATTTGGATTATAAGTGCATTCACAAAAAAACACAACTTTCTCTTAGAAATCAATGAATCCTAGACATCTAAAAAAATTTCTATTTGTTATTAATTTTTAAAATTAGCATTATTTTAAGCTATTTTATATAATAATGTTGCAATTAATAGAGAATGCATTTTTTTTACCGAATTGTATAATATGTTTTGTAATAAGTATGTACGTCATTTAATGCTTGGGTGTGTTGACACCCCATGCGCGTTCTTGTGTTACATAATACAACGCGTCTCCCGATTCATCAATAATTATTTATTAATATAATTTAATCAATAATTATAGATAATTAATTATTATTTTATTGAATAATTAAAGATTGAAGTATTAACTAATTAAAATTAAATAAAATGTAAAAGATAAATTGAAATTAAACACGTGATTTTTAACATTTTATTGTTAAAATAAATTTTTGAGATAAATTTCTACTGAAATTGTTATTCAATTATATAAAAGAAGTGCCGCAGCCATCTTATTCAGGGCTCCGGTACGTTCCGGCTAGAATTATGATTTATTACAAAAACTAAAGTACCGTAGCAGAGATATCCGATGAGTTCCGGCCCAATTTAAGTTCTGATCATGGGAGGGGGGGGAGTTCTTTTATCATCACAAAAATTAAATAAACTTAAAGTATAGCTGATGAAAATTCCCGGGCGAAACAGAATGAGGGTATGAGTGGGTGGAAAGAAAAAATGAGGGGAATCTTGGTGAGAGAGAACGTTTTCTTTGACCGCAGCTCTCTATTGATATAATTATAGCCATCAAGCAGATGGGTGTCAGGGGTAAATGAATCGGACTGAATCAGATGAGAGAGAACGTTTTCTTTGACCGCAGCTTTCTGTTGATATAATTATAGCCATCAAGCAGATGGGTGTCAGGATTAAATGAATCGGACTGAATCAGACTCCTAAACATAAAGTTGTTGGTTACACCCCCCCCCCCTTAGTGGATACTGTGGGAAAGACGGTGTATAGGACGTGCTTGAGCAGTTTATCTCAGTATTTCCCTCTTATTGTACTCACTGTCACTTAATGCACATTTAAGAATACAAATTTTCCTTCCTGGGAGGATAACTAACTGTAAGCATCGGTAACAATACATTAGATATAATGGCATGGCGAGAAATTTAGACGTTCGTAAACAAACTCCTCCAAATTTATTGCTTTTCTTAAAGGGAAAGGTTTCCTCATGTGAGTGAAGGGACTTTACTTGAACGTCTCATGTTCTCATGAGTTCATATTTCTAGGGAAATAGAGTATTGCAAGGTCTGCTTGTTGTTACACTAAAACGTTTAGGAGTTCTAAACTTTTTTCCTTTAAATTGTGGTTCAGTTTTATAAAATGTACCAGAGCTCATCTTATTTAAGGCTCAGGTACGCTCCGGCTAAAATTGTAATTTATCTTAAAAATTGAGAAGTGCCGCAATTTAAGCACTGCTAACACAACTATAATAATTTCCAATGTTGATGCAGTGATGTCTCTTGCACCACTGCCTTATACACACAGAAGCTTATTACAACTGCCATGGAAATTTTACAATGTTATTTGCTAGTACATTACTAAGTTAGTTTGGAAACTATTTAATACACTTTTGTAATGATTAAATCCTGTTGTAATGCCAAGTAAATGCAGCCTTTCAAAGAAAAATCATTATCAGAGATAGCTTCTAATATTATGAAGTCAAGGCATTAAATGAATATAAAAAGCAAAAGATACTACCTACATTTTAAGGGACTTTTAAAGAGAAAATATACATCAAGGAATTTGTACAGTTCAGAATCAAATGCTGTAAAAGTTACTGTTGATTTTATAAACTAATAACTGTAATCTTCTTTTATGTAGAGCATCTGTCATTTAAACTGAGATCTAAAGAAAAATAACTTCAAACTGTTAGTGTTAAATAGAAATATAAGACATCAGTTTTTCTGTTTATTTCAAAATGGCCTGCCAAAATAAATACATGCTTTCGAATTCAATTATATTTGTTAAAAACTCTTAAGTAATTTTTTTAAATTAATTAATGCTGCTGAAGGAAAATTAATTAGCATATGATAATTAATTTTAAAAACAAATACCTGTTTTTTGAAGGTATTGAACCAATATCAACATAAAGTTTGAATATAGCATTCATCATAACTGGATGGCACATAATATGAGCTGCTGAGGGTCTTTTATGAGGGTCTAGAGATAACATACTCATCAACAGTTTTCGTAACTCAGAACTGTAGATATCTGGCACTGGATCAAAGCAACCTCTCATAATTTTCATTACAAGAGCAGGTAATGTCTAGAATGAAACATATAATACGTTCAAGAATATTTTTTAAAATATGCTATAACTATAAATGTAGCCAATGGATTAGAAAAACAAACTGACATTAAAAAATTATGTATATATGTGTATATATGGTGAACAAGATAAATTTCTGTATTGCTATATATATATATATATATCATTTATTACTCTGTATTATTTTTACTCTGTATTACACAAATTTCATATTATCTAGTGACATATCATCATTTCAATTATTTTAAATTATATATGTATATAAATTATACAAATGTATTAATGACTTATTGAATATGATAAAAGATGACCTACACAACCTAACATATTTGCCCCATCTCTATGCTTACTTGCAAGAATAAAATGAAATAGGTAGTGAATATTATTTAATATTTTTTACTTAGAGTTTCTGCAGCAGATTTTACAGCAACAGTCCTTAATACAAATTACATTATTTAACTATTTAACATATATAATATATAATATCAAGTGAATTACTTTGATGTAATATGAGTTTTTATAAAGATATATTTTTTGTAAAATTAATCAAGTATTAAAATTTTTAAAGAATAATATGATGCAGAGCATTTTCTCAAAAATAAATGCTTTATAAATATCAATTCTAAGAGAATTATTGAAATGTACTAAGTAACTGATAAAAGATGAGAATTATTTAATTATATACTTTCATATATATATATAAATACTATTTTCTCATATAAAAAGTGTAAAAATATTTTAATTTAATTATAACATAGCTTATTTTTTAAATTACATTCAACGTAAAAACTGCCCCAAATTTAGTAAATTCTCTTAAAAACTTTATTTTTCACAGTTACTGGTAATTCAACAATCAAAATAGCAGCCACTAACTCATTTTAAGAGAATTAAAACTTATAACTTCATATTTATACACATATCTAATTAATGTATATCAGTTTCATAGCAATTGAAAAGCATGAGAAAAAATTTCTAAATTCAACCAACAAAATATACATATGTACATGGAAAAATATTATACAGAAAACTTACACTAGCTTCAAATGGCCTCTTCAAAGTCATTAACTCATATAAGATGCAGCCAAGTGCCCAGATGTCACTCTTCTGGTTATATCTTTACACTGTTAATGAATACTATTTTCAACAGCATTTTTGAACAAATCTGAATATGTCAGGAAACCAAAAGAAAGAAATCAAGTAGCTTGCACAAGAAAAGAAAAGCCAGGCAGTTAGCTGTGAGGATCATCTAAAAGAAGAAAGAAAAGGTTAGTAAAGGAGAATAGAAAAAGGCATACTGAAAGACATAATAAAGAAGTCAGACTACAAAAAGGAACCTTGTAAAACATATTCCTTAAAGGACATTTTGATTTAAATATCAAAATCACAGCTAAGAAATTTCAGATTTTATGATAAATTTTATTTATTTAATTTGTCATTTAAATCAGTTTGTAAATTTATTACACATACATCTTTAAAAATGTTGAATGATTTCATTGTAAAAATCAAAATCATGATGCTATAAAGTTTTTGTTTAAATAATTAATATTTTAATAAATTAATATAAAATTTTCAACAGAATTTGCAATAAAAAAAAAGAAGAGATTATATTCAGTATCACATGCTTTCAAAGATACTTATAGCAAGGGCAAAGAAAACCTGAAAACATTAAGAAAGCTAAATCTAAGATACTCTTCTGTTTGCATATTTCTTCTCAATGAACATTGTTTTAGAAATAACTATGCAACATTAAGATATTTATTCCTTTTTTATGATAGTCTATGTAAAAATTTCAAGTTACTTTACTTATAATTTTATGAGCATTTTCTTTTTCCACCTGTATGTAACTGCAAGATTAATGTAATTCATATGCCCAGTTGCAAAACAGTATAGTGGTTACTCACTATGACCAATATACCAAAGTGCCCTGGCTAGAATCCTGAAGAAAGCATGGATGTTGTAAATGTATAGTGTTTCACATCCCCTTCAATGTTAACTTCACACTCTGCAATATAATGCATTCATGGCATGTCTGCCAGATATTAAAAATAGATTTCTGCATGGTTCCTTTGTCGCCAGCCTTAATAGCTCGAAGTGATGCTCATGCTTGCCTTTCAACTGAGATAAAACTGTGATGATTTATTAAGGTACAGAGCAAAGGAGATTTTGCTACTGTTCCTCCAAATAATTTATGGTTCACTCCATATAATTTTATGGAGCCTTAAGCTTTAAATTAAAATTCCCCCCCCACTCGTTTGGTGAATTTATTATGAATAATAATACATTGATGTAATATGGCCTTCATTCTTGTTTTGTAATCAAAAGAGAAAACTTATGCTAAACATGTCGTTAACATCAAAACCACGATTATGATTTAACACTGGCACTCTAAATACACTGATCACCAAAATGCAAAGATAATGAGAAAAAATATGCCCAATGCTGTAACTACTTATGTTAATTAAATACAACTGAACACAAAATTGCACTTCCATGCATACATTAGCATTGGAAATATGCAAATTCGGTGATTCATAATGTAGTGCACAAAGAAGGCTTAATGAAATTAGACTGTATGTGAGAAAAACCAGTGGTTTGTGTTCCACTCACTCTAGCATCCAGAGCAGCCCATTTAAACTAGTGCCGTCGTCATGTTCAATGCATCCAAGATGACTGCACCTGAGTATTGTTTACTGACGAGTCCAAACATAGTCTGAACAGTGATTCTAGATGTGTTTTTATCTGGAAAGAGGAAGGGACACGCAACTTGCCTTCCCTTGTCCGTGAAATATCGTGTTTCCCCGATTGCAGTTTAATGATTTAGGGAGGAATCATGACAAATGGCCGCACCAAGCCGCATATCTCTTACGGAGGTTCTATAACAGCACAGAGATATGTGGAAGAGGTATTGGACCCTGGGTTAGACTGCTTAAGGGTGCTGTTGGCCCAGAGTTTTTGTTAATGGATAACAGTGCTCAGCTTCATTGAGCATATGTGGTGTCAGAATACTTGAAAACAGAAGATATTACTTGAATGCACTCACAATCTTACTCAACCGACTTCAACCCGATTGAGCATGTGTGAGATGGCTTATGGTTCCGAATTTCATCATGCCAAATTCCACTCAGGAATGCACATTTAGAAGAATGACTAGCAATTCCACGAGACTTGATCAATGTCTATGGAGTCTACGAAATCAAGATGTGAGGTATGCACATCTGTCCGAGGTGACAAAACACCATATTAATCCTTTCCAGTACAATGTACTCAGTCAGGGCAGACCCAAAAAATTCTCTCTGTACACACAGAAAAATGGAAAGCTATAGGTTACTAAAGTTTAACATTTAACCTTCTTTATTAATATTAGGTAGCTGCACAACACAAACTAGTCCATATGTTTCAGCCATGTTTAGTTTTTAAAGATGCTCATTTTTCAAAGAAATCTTCCAAATTTTTTTTAGGCTATAAAAGAAATTGTTTCAAGAACAATTTCTACGTTATTTTCTTGGCTGTATGCTGTTCTTTTTATTCTAATATTAGTTTTAAATTTTTACCTTGAAATCTTTCCAAAAATCAAACAACAAACATCCGGTGTGCCCATAATGGGATCACTAAAACACCAGACCAACAACTGTATTTGCTGTTTCACTGCAGATTTTTTTTTTTTAAAGCCCATTTACAACAGAAAGGTTGATGCACTGTTGTGTTTCATTTTCAGCTTTTCTTTTGCTTTTTTTTGGGGGGGGGGTGAGGTTAGGTTATCCACTAAGGAATTGTTGAGATGTTTTTCTGAAGGTCAGGAGTAATTTTATCAGTCAGATCTTCTGATTTTCACTAGAGTATTTCTCTTTTTTTCCTCACTTTCATTGAAATAAGTTTTCTTAGCTCTACATTTTGATAGTTTTGAGTTGAAAACGTTTATTTAATTTTATTTTATAGTTTATAATTTCTTAATTGTAGATATAAGTTTCTGAAGAAATGGAGTTCAGTAACCTTGAACACATACCAGTGAAGGGTATGAGAAGAAAATGTGCTTACTGTAGCACCAGACAGGAGCCCCACAGATGACCACAGTACATGTGCAAAACATGCAATGTTGGGTTGCACTTCTTCAAAGGTGGTGTCACTAGCTTCGAGAAGTACCACCATGAAAAAAATTAAAGGGAAGTGTACATATGAAATGTAAACAATGTAAATATCATTTTGCCAAGTTACCTTTTTTCCAGTTATTATACATATAATTATCTCAACTAAGAAGTGTTTTTTTTTGGGTGGAGAGTGGAGAGTAGCAGACTTCAACATGATGCATCCTGTGTAATTTTAAATCTGCTACAGTAATCAGAATCTGGTGTTTTTTAATTTTAGGCACACACTTTTACTCTATTATGTGTTTCCCAACAATTCTCACTTCAGTGCTCTTTTTGAAGCTCCATTCATTCAGTGAGCTTGCCTCAAGCACACCCACAAAAATTAAAACAGTAAGTTCTTTCTTTACAAAATTTTACCTGTGAACTCCTCTAGGCCTGATTAGATTGCCTTGAAATTCCAAAGGTAGCGTGCGTACTGGAAAGGGTTAAAGAAAAAATTTTCGCAAGAGGTCACTTAATTTTTCCATCATTTTCCAATTTCTATAAATTTGGTTTTAATTTCAATATTTTGTGAATGATCAATTTCCAAACGTTGAAATTTATATTAACTAATGCTTTTGTATAAATTTCTATTAATAAAATTTCTATTAATATTAATTGTTAAGTATCAGTTACATTTTATTTCTGTCATTATCCTTCAATTTTGATTACCAGGGTATACAACGAGTCAAAAGTTCTCTCGTCTGGTTTGGTAGTACGGAAAGATATGTAGCAGACCCTCAGACTGCTTCTTCCTGGGGTGCTTTCTCTCAAAATTGTGTTGGAAATGGGCAAAATCATACTGTCATCTATATGGTGCCCATGGTTCTTGCCAATGACAAATGCAGTCTTGTACTCCTTGCCATAATAAAATTTGTGTTCCTGTTCTGATTTGGTCAGAAAAATGAAAACAGTCAAAACAACAATTCATATGCCACATTAACTGGGAAGGGTGTGTGCTCTTTTCAGTTACATGAGCATGCGCCCTGGGTCCAAAAGACCCGGCTCATGTTTTTTGAAGGAAAAAACTGTTACTCTTCAGGTAAAAATGTTACATTTATACCAAAATATTATGATCAAACTTTAAAAATATGCAAATTATGAAAGTTAAAATTTTAATTTTAATTTCTATAATATTTTTTTATAAAATAAAATTTTTAAAGGAATAGAAAAGCGTATTATATTAATAAAGAATTTATTAGGAATTCATTATATTATTATTCAGCCTATTCAGAAATTATTATTCAGGTTTATTAGGAATATACTGCCTGAAAGAACATCTTCCTCGGAAAGCTTCAAGTTTTTCATCAATTGTTATGAGCTCACCAACAGTGTAATATTTCTGGCAGTTATTCAAACTCTTCAAAAAAATCTCTTATAGGTGCAAGTTTATCTGATTCTTTCTTGATGATGTGAGTTCCTATGTCATCAAAACACAAACATCTTAATAAAAAAAGAAAATGTTTGTAGGACATATCTCTAAAAGCGTGAATCTCAATTAAAGTTGTGTGACGAGCATCTCTTTCTCTTTGAAAGCTGTCAGAAATATATGCAATATAAATATTTTTATGCCTGACGACTTTCAGCAACATTTGTTCACTTAGTTCACACGATTCATTTGGAGTCAGCACATATTTTGCCTTACCGATATTTCCAGGCAATTTAGTAATAATATTATGAGTAGGAGTTCTAACATCAGCTTTAGGCTTTTCTTTTGAAAAAAATTTTTTTTTTCAATAAAGCAATAAATGTCATTCTCATTTTCGTTTTCAGAATGCATCTTGATTTCTGAATCAGTATCATGAGAACTAAAAAATTCATTTTAACTTTCATTATCAGTTTCTTCAATGGAGTCTTCAACAGTTCATATATCTAATAATTTTTGCAAACATAATATTTCTTCCTTATAGGATAAATTACATGACATATTTTCAGCTTTCTGTGCTACTACAAATGAACTTCGTTACAGAATGCGAATATGCGCGCTGGATCTGAAAGACCCGATCCTGTCAAAACAAAACTTCAAATCAAATTTTCAACGAAAAACTTTGGAAACATAAAGACAATGGCCTTGGAGGAGACTACACTGAACCACAACTGCTAGGGAAAAATAGGGACGTTTTGAGAAACGTTTCTTTAATCGGGCGGATCCATTGGACCCGCGGGTTAAATGTTAGTTTTTACAATCTATTTTAATTTCAAAGGGGATTAAAAATATACAATTAAAGATAAGAGATATCTTTAAACAAGAATTTATTTATTTACTTGTTTAGTTTCATAATCTAGCATTTGAATTCAAATCAGAAAAACATTTTTGAAGATTTCCTGCGATGGATCTAAAACGAGCTATCAAATCAGGCAAATAATTGATAGCTACAGTTTTGACATCAAACTCCTTGGAGAAACAATATAAAACTGAACAAATACAAAATTTAGCAACTTAACATTATTTCATTCACTAATAAATTTTTTAATGTGATTTCGAAGAACAAAAAATTTTTTCTTAAAATACATTTATAAAAAAATTCATTTAGAGAATATACACTGTTTATATCTTTCCTAGCATTTTCAAGTTAACTTTGCTTCAAGAATAGATAAGCATATATTTAATTCATAGGCTAAGATAAAATTTACATTTTTTATCAAGCAAACTTATTTTATTGCATCTTGACTAAAGTATACACTTACTTATGAGTTTTTTAAGTGCACTGACTATTTCCAAAATTCCGAATTTTTAACACTAAATATACTTTTTATTTACTCTACCAAATAAAATCTCAAAACACATTTGAACGACTAAATTTTCTTATTTTTTAACAGTTACGGATAATATGAATCTAAAATCTGATGTTTTAGTGAATTTTGTAATTCTGTAAAAATTCTGAATTCAGTAAAAAAATAATCTTATATTCTGATTTTAATAAAAATTAATTTATCAATGACAAAAATTACATTTCATAAAAATTAATTCAAATAAAGGCAAAACAGTGGCAACAATCACCAATTTTTTCCTTCTTAATAGCTAATCTAGGATTTAACACACACACAGATTCTTTTTAATACTTACATTCTGCATAAAGATACAGTAAAATACAGAAATGGTCATAGTAAATCAATGTATATAAATTTTATTTACACTTGTTGAAAGGCAAAATTATCTGTACAATGAAAATTGTCAGTAGATTAAAAAAGTGCTTTATTAGTAATTATCTACTCAAAATAAAACATTCAAAAGCTTACATGTATAGAATGAGTATATTTTGCTCAAAGCAATTGCATTAAAAAAATTCTATAAGGACAGAATACATCTCATACATTACTAGCAAGTCAAAATACTATACGCTATAGGAGCACATGAAAATTAGATACAGAAGAAATGATGCCTATCCAAATTACAATATTATTTATAAATGTTAATGATCTTTTTTATTCAAGAATTTTTTTAAAAATTCAAAGAAAAAAGTTGTGTACTATTTCTAAGCAAAAAAAAAAAAAATCATTATTGAATTATTATAAACAGATGTTTAAGTTCCATATCTATTTTAACATTAAAATTAATATATAACTAATTCAACCAACTAAAATATCATATAAACGGAAAAAATACACTGTTTTTAAAAATTAATCACAATATTAGGTTAATACTTCCTTTGTTCCTCAAAACTCTTTTCGAAAAATATATTTATAAAACTAAAGAAAGTTTAAATTCACAAAAATAAAATAAAATTTAACATGTAAAATTATAGAATACATATCAAACAATTTTCATATACATATATATCAAGTTATTTATAAATCTGAGAGCGTTATAATAGTCACAAATTGAAAAAAGAAAGAGTTCCCTAAGTCATTAGCAAGTCAAAACAGGAAAGGAAACAAAGAAATGGAAAAGAAGAATTTTGTTAAGTTTCAAGAGGATACGGTTTACCTTCACATAGTTCAGGAGATATATAACATGGAGTTCCCACCACCTGGAGATATTAAGATAGAAAAGAGCATACTCTTTTTTTTTTTTTTTTTTTTTTTAGGACACACAGAGAAATTTCAATATCAGGTAGAAAATGAAAGCTATTTTTATATATAAATCTAAAATATATGCATTAACATTAAACAGATATAAAAATTAACATTAAACATAATATAAAAAAATCTGATGTGTACACCACGACTTAATAGTATTGGAATATTAAATTGGAATATTAAATTATATGCATTTTTTCTTGGATTTCATTTAAACTTATTGGATTGAATTAAATCTACTTCGCCGACAGCCCATAAACCACAATAGAATAAATTCATTCTTTAAAATTCACTCTAGTATTTGTTTACCATAGCGACACTCTGGCGCTAGATTCACTTAACAGTATTAATAATTATATAACAGTTAACTTATATAATAATTATATAACGGAAACTAAGTTAACTGTTATATAACAGTTAACTTATATAATAATTATAAAACGGAAACTAAGTTAACTGTTATATAATCCAATAATTATATAATAGTTAACGTATATATTTCGTTCATATTATAACTCATAATGCATAAAATTTATATCATTTAAAGAATAGAATTATCTAATTGTTGCCACATGTTCTATTCAAATACTATAATAAAAGCTAGAATGATGTAAAAGAAATTAAGCAAACAAAACAAAAAAACAAACAGTTTTTCACAGATGATTGAGTATTTCATTTAATTAATTCAGTTCTTCACTTCGCAACAAGGCAAAAATTCCTAAAAAACTCAAAATATCTATATTAAAAATTACGAAGTAAATTTCAAACACTTATTTCCTCGCAAAAATTCCAGAAAGAATTAAGCATGATTTAATTGGCAATAATAAATGAATGCGTTATCTTCGTTGTTGCGAAGCTAAGTTTCTCTAGATTGGCAACAAATCCACTAGCCTCCTGTTTCATATGTAAACATCAATGGCCGCCATTAAAAACAGGCTTAGCAGCAATTAAACAACTTTAAAATTGCTGAAAATTCTAAAAATATTGCACATGGATTTACTAAAGGTATAAAATCCTTAACCAGAAGATAAAAACAATATAATTCAATGATTTTTAAAGCAAAAAATGTACAATTTACAAACATATAAGAGTAAAGAAACTGAGACGACTGAGCCGGGTAACAGAGTGGATATATATATAAATATATTTATATACGTTTGGTGCGGCCGATTGCAACCAAAATACGAGGTGCACATCTGCATGTTATAGCAGTCCTATATACAAAATTTCAACGTTCTGAGGCTACTCGTTTTTGAGTTATGTGAGATACATACGTACGCACGTACGTACGTTCGTACAGACGCCATGAAAAATTCTCTTCAGAATTAATTTTAAAGCAGTTTTATAATTTTTTTGAAGGAAAAGAGTATTTTATTCTATCCTTACGTGCAGATATCACACAAAAACATCGTTCAATTGCATTCGATAGCGGTCAGAATAGATATTTTCGTTGAAATATGCTGCCTGAAACTTTTCGCGATTACAATACTTCCTTTTTACTTCGTAGAAGGAAATGAAAAGCCAATAGATTAAAATAGTTAATATAAAATCAAAAAAAGCATTTTTGGAAATACAATTCAGATAAGTCTATAAAATCTAATTAACATTCTTAGGTACTACATGATTTGCATTATTCCAGATATACTGATACAATATTTATTTTATAAGCCTTTTAATTAGCATCGTTACTAATACATGCAAACCCTCTATCACAATGCCTATAATATCTTTTTTCCTCCAACTCGAAAACTGGAGAAAATTACTCTATAATAGAGTTTCTTAAACTGTGGGTTACCAAAAATTTTAACAATTTTGATATTTCTTTAACTTATTATAATTTGACAATTACCAAATATTTTCACATAATGCATCTGAAATAGCTAAAGATAAGACAATACAGACAAAGAAAAAACAAAAATTTTTCAATGCATTTTTTCATAATAGAAATGTTCATTTTACTTTAAAAATTAAACTTAATGACCTAAAACTGCAATAGTACATTACATTACAAGTGAAGAAACTAACAATTTTACTCATGCGTGTGTGAGATTTCTCCAATGTTTATGGGATTCCCCAAAATTTTTTTTAATATTATGGGGTCCTCACACCAAAAAGTTGAAGAAACTCTGCTCTATAACATCTCAACATATTATTTTCCTGGCTGTTTTGAACAGTTAATTCACAGACGAAGGAAATTGCCATTAGAGTAGCTATGACAGAACTGTTGATACCATAGTGTCATAGCATGGTACTTGTGTATTAACACAACCACCTAAGCATAGTTTGGCAATTTTTTACGGATGAAAAAGAATGACACCTAACTGCAAAATATCATTTATTACGTGCATGCATATTGTTACATACATATTTAACTTCTAGGTATTCTTTCCCAAAATCAATTTAACTACTTATTAGTAAGTTTTTGTTTCATCTGTTCTGTGGAAATTTTGTGATCATCGCTTTAAAAACAGACTCAAAGCCATTGTTCCCTTTAGCAATTTTGGTGCAAAATACTACATTACTGCAGTTACTACCATTGCAGGCAAAGTTCACATACTAAATTTTAAGACAAAAAATATCATGTATGTTTATTAAAAACCATTAGAACTTGGAATACTATATAAAGAACATACATGAAAACGGGAATGTTCTTTTTAAAACTGAAGAATTGTCTTGCATATGGTTTCAAGAGGTTGGCCCATTTTTTGAGAATTTGACAGCTTCTAATAAAAGTGGCTGCAGTAGTACATAGGTATCCATAACATATTAAGATACAACAAAGTGATGAGCAATTATCTTTAGAATAACAATTCAAAAAGCCAGAAAAAGAAATAGTTGCATGTCTCACTTAGCATTACATTTTCTAAATGAAGCTTCTTTCACTGAAAGAAGCAAACAATTTAAAAGAAAATTTTATAAGCACTTAGCCGCATTCATCAAAATTTATTTATAAACATCTGTCAGCTAAGAACAGAATATGTGATTTATTTCAAAAAAAATTAATATGAATTTAAGCAGCTACTGAAAAAACTCAGATGAGCAGGATATTTTGCCGAAAAGAAAACAATCTTATTTAATAATGATTATACAGTCAAAAGTCGTTAATCTGGATTTGTCGGGACTTCGGCGATTCCGGATTATCGATTTTTCCGGATTATAGATCATCAGTTTAAATCTCGTAAGATGGCATGAGAAATTCTAAAAATAAATATAAACCGTAATTTATGAAATAAAGACAATTATGATCTAAAGGGTATCAAAATTTGCAAAAGAAAAAGCTTAATATTATTTGTTTACTTATTTTAAACATTTCTTTCAATGTAAGTTGTTTTAAGTTTTGCTTCGTTCATGTGATAATCTTTCTTTTAATTCTATTAAACAGACTAATTTCTTGTTCAGTTACAAAGTTCCCCTGTTCAAGTCCTATAATTGCTGTGTCAAGAACACCGACTATTTGTCAATCGAATTTTTTCGTTTTCACTAACCTCTGTTCTTCTTCGCTATCGGAAGTGAATTATTATGACGAGGAACTTGTTTAAATCATATCAAAGACGGAGCATCAGATGAAATACTAATTTGGTAAGGATTAAGCCAAATAAATAAAATCATCTGCCCTGAAGATAAGGATAGTGCTGACAGATCAACTTCCAATTCATTACGCGCCGCTGCGGCGTTCCCCCGCCGAGCAATTCTTGTATAATCGAAAGTTAAGCTTATTTTTCATTACAGCTGACGCTCCCCCCGCGCGCAAAACGTTTAGTTGGGTTCCCCCCCCTATGCGCGTCACGGCGCATGCGCAGTTTAGTTTTGAGGTCCGATTAGATCATTCCGAATTCGACGTTTTCGAAAGGATATTTTATATATTCTTTTGATTCTTTACATGTTCTCTCAGTACAAATATATGTCGGCCCATGGCCCTTTAGGCCTAACCCCTGTTACATAATTCCAGGCCATTTATAAACTTCATTATTGCACACACTGTGTTGCTATTAATACATTGGGATGTATCCTCTTAAAAGTTTCTCCTATGAAAAATTCTAAATGAATTTTGAAAAAAAATGACAGATTAATTAACTTTCCCTGCTTTCAGGCATGTTATTATAGACGTTTTTTCACCAACTCAAGTGAAGTTCAGCTAAATTTTCTTTCAAAGAAAGCAATGCCTATTCCTCCTCAAATCGAATTACTATTTTTTTTTTTTTTTTTTTTTTTTTTTTGTTAAAAAAAAATTTGGTTACGTGCCATAGATCAAATCTTATACAAACCGTTAACACAGAAAAATTATATAATCAAACCTTTTTCAATGTAAAAATATATTAATTTTTCTCATCTTTGTTAAAGTGTTGTTATAGGAAACATTTCTCTCCGCAAGTAAAACCTACTCTTTGATTTAAGACACTGGTGAACATGTTAATTCCCATTTTTAACAGGCAGTGTAAGCCTTGCTTTATTTAAACTTGAATTCAATCTCAATTGTACGACGTTTATTTCTTTAAAGAACTGGGTGCTTTTAAATTTGGTGTAAATGAAACTGTGCAGTTAAAATCTGACACACATAAGTGACTCCCTGACTAGATGAAAAAGAAAGGACGAGATGATTAATTTATAGCACACATTAGAATTAAGAGTTAGATATACGGTATGAGAAATAATACTATAAATAAGATCAATTAAGAATAAAAACACAAAATAAAAATGGAGATATATTATAAAATTATTGAAGAACAATGAATAAACACAAGAGACAGTATAATCTCACTCATGGACAAAATATTTACATGTATTTCAGACAGTAATTCCATAAGATTTTCAAAATTACAGATTAGATAAAGATATGTGTTTCTCTACCCTCTATCACAAGAAATATGTTTAAGGTAAATCAAATTTAACTAGCACACCATAAGCTTTGACAGAGTTCTTCCATTATCATCTCACATAATATAACTGACTTAAAAGATTATTTGACCATTATGAATGATAGTTTCTATACTGTGTGTGTGTGTGTGCATGTGAGTACCTTGTCATTCATAGTACACAATGACAGCCAGGGAAAGAAAATCTCATGAAATTTACTTATGTATAATCAACATTCAGTTTTGTTAAACCACTTTTTTTTAGTAAGATCAAGCAAAATTTCAGTTGTTCAATCATTATATTTAATTTAATAATTTTAATTTAGCTCAGCAAATGTCAAAATGAATATCATTCAAAACAAAAAGGAAAACACCAAACATTTCATAAATAGCAATAGAGCTGCATATGAATATACACAATTACAACTATCACAATAAAATCCATGTTCAACTATGTCTAGACTCCAGAGTATGCCTAGCTCCAACTACCTGGATCAAAAGCTCTTTCAATGCTAAAAATCACATGCAAAAGAATGCCACTCTAGTTATGCCATACACTGATGGACAAAAATTCCTTGCATGAAAAGAAAATTGACATAATCATGTATTTGTTTAGTCTGCTCTTCGAAAAAGATTTTGTTGTGTACAATGATTGGTTGAGTAAATAAAGGGTAATTGGGTTTATGCAATATATAATTGTTTTCATAAATGTTTACAGACTTCTAATTTAATAAACTGTAGGACAGTTGGTACTTTTCAGTTACCTTCACTCACATTTTCTTGGCAGCAAAAGATATTTCCTCATTGATATTTGCCTTTATTTTTGTTTCCCATTCTTTTTTCAGTGGCTTCACTTAATTTTATGTGTGATTGTTCCGCATATCATTTTTGCATGTTATGTTTTCTATGCTTGATTTAACATTTTCTTATTGATTTACTGTTTGTTGCATGTTACCCCCAAAGTGAATATAAAAACAAATTTGAAATATCCTGTATAAGCAATATACCTGAAAGAAACATACTTGAGCCTCCCTTATAATAATCACACATATAGTAAAAGAAAGAAAAATGGTATGCACAACAAAAGATAAAATAAAAAAACTTTATATTCCTACCAATTCTGTTAGCAGTTCTCCATCTCTCTGTTTTAGGAAATCAAATAATGTTCCACCTACAAAATTACATCAAATCATTACTGCTTAAAATAATAAAAGGAATGATAAACAAAAGTAACAGAAAATAGCAATTATGAATCCCTCTTTAAACATTAAAATGAATCCCTCTTTAAATGAAATTATTCCTCTTTAAACATTAACGGTACAAGAATGAATCCCTCTTTAAACATTAACGAAATCCCTCTTTAAACATTAACGATACAAGAGTAAAACTTGTACCTTAATTTGACAAACTCTTCTTCTGATCTAATATCTCAGTACAAGAAACTTCAATACTTAACCTTTGACATGTTTGCTGCCAAAGCTGATATGGTGCATCCCTTCACATGTGCCATGTTCTTTTCTGCATGTTCATGCTTTTAAATTATTTTCTGTTTTATTTTATTATTTAAATATAGATATAACAGATTACTTTTGGCAGTAAAGTAAATAAATTCACACCAATATATTTATAGCTGGCATAAGAAATAATATTTTTGCTCTCTGCGTCAATTAAGAGATAATTTTGAACTAGATATATAATAATCACCTGTCTAAAAACATGTAAAACAGAAGTATTCCAACATATGAAAATTTGAACTATAAATTATAAAAATAAAAAATTAAAAGAGGAGTTGATTCTTAAAATCTGTAACACTAAAGCAATGAAAGTTTTGAAATGAAATTTAGCATATTATAAGGCTTAGCAACAGTATTTTGCTATCAAAAAGATTGAATACATATTTTTTTCATTTCAAAACTTGCTCGAATGTTACAGATTTTACAAACTAGCTCCCTTTTTTTATATAATTTTAGTTTGAAATATTCTTATACTTGACTATTTTCGTTTTACGTGTTTCTGGACTTAGTCCACTTAAACTGAAATTATAATTATTAAATTTTGAAGCTTTTTTGCTTCCTTTAGATTTTGTCGCTAAAATTTTTTTTTTCAAAAATTTTAACCTAATTTGTGCAGACTCAAAATTTACTTACATTTTTATTTTTTCATGTATTAGATTCCTTATATTTGCATGTTTTGATTTAGTTTTGGAACTCAGTTAGATTACTATAACTGTTTTCCCAAGATTATTTTAAGTTTTAAACTTTAATATGTGTCTTTGGTGCTTCAGAAACAGGCTGATTTATTTACTTCTTTTGTTATACCAACACCCTGATGACCAAAAAGTGAAAGATAAAAATTTCTTCCTTAATTTTTGGGTTTCACATATCCACCTCCCCCTTTTCTTTTTTTTTTTCTTGCAGTTTGCCAGATGCTTCTTAAATTCCTGTTTGAAACACATTCAGAAATGGTAAGCCACATATAAATATATAAACTAAGTAATATAAAAATGCAATAGTAATGCAATGGGCAACATAACTTATTTTAAATTTATAAAATTTATATTGAATCAAGCATACTATCATAAACAAAATTTAAATTACCATTCATGTCATTTTTGACATTTCATAGTACACACAAAAAAAAAAAATAAATAAAAAAAAAAAATCCAATTTTTAAAAAAACCTCAGTGGCACAACAGCCCTTAGTAAGCCATGGCCTTCAGTACCCTGATATCTGCTTTCTTGACCATGGGCCCTGGAATGCATGAGCATATAGCCTGGCCAAGTGGTCAGCTACAAATCCAATAAAGCAGTAGCTACATAGATATTAAGAACTACACAAAAACTGGTAGTCTTCTGTTATCAGGAACAGATACAGAAATGTATGGATGGATGTAATCATGTATGCATATGTGGTGTGCATATACACTAACACATATATGTATAAACATACATATACATGTGCATACATACATACATTTCTGAATCCTGTCCTGATAACAGAAGAGTACCTATAAACTGTATGGAAATGCCTAAAATGTAAATAAAATCAGCTTTAAAGGCATTCAGTGTGTAATTGAGGGTGGTTTTTAACAACATAACACTGCAAAATAGAATGCAGTTACTGAATTTTTATTAATTATGTTGTTTGCATTATTCATGCTTATATACAAAATTGAATACATCTGAAATGCATTAGAGTACATAGAGAAAATTTACAAAACTATATACAAATTATTAAATAATTTGAATACAAAAAAGTTTAATTTTACCTCGCACATACTCCATAACAATAACCATCATCTTATCACCCAAAAAACTTTCATGATATGCAATAATATTTGGATGATCCAGCATTGAAAGAACTTTAGCTTCATTCATCGATGCTTGCCTTTCTTCCAAAGACATTTGATCAACGGGTATTTCCTTCAAGATTACTAATTTCTTATCTGAAATTCTGTGGCTAAGATACACAGCCCTGTAAGCATTAAAATATATATGTATAAAAATTAAAATCATTTGAGATGTTTAACTATAATATATGAAACAATTAATGCAAGTTAGTTTTAAAAAAATTTTAAGCAATAAAAAAAAGGAAAAAAAAAAAACATTATTATTTAATAAACAAAACATAATAATAGACAGTTTTTTTTTAAAAAAATTGTTTGTTTGCAATTAACTCAAAATGATCTTTAGAATTCATTTCATATAACTGGGTATGCTGGCTTCCATTATAGCAAAAAATGCAAGAGCTATCTGCTAAGTAAGAGTTGCCTTTATGAAGTACATTCTAGAGAAAACTTATTCCTATTCAGATTACACATTAATAAAAAGCACAAATATGTCCATGCAGCCAATTCACTGGAATATAAACCTTTATAAAATTATCAAAGTTCAACGGTTTATGGTTTTAACTACTCAGTAACTGATCAGTCATGTTTTACTATGCCTGATTTCAAATGAAAAGCTGCACTGGCTTTCAAAAGATAATTAAATAAATCAAGTAATTCTAAAAAATACTCCTAAGGTTGTTAAGTTCAAAACTTAACAATGACCATCGGTAAATTTTGAAAAGTGAAGCCAACTTCATCAGAGCTTTGGAGGGCTCTTGAAATGCAAAGCCAGTTACTGCAATCTGTACAGTCATACATATCCACTCCTCAATATGATAATAAATATATGCATAAGGAAACCTTCACCAGCTACATTTATTGAATAAAGAAGTTATCAATCAAGTTAATAAATATGCATGACACAAAGTATTAAAAGTACCAAAATCTTTTACCTATAACAAATACACCACAGTATAACTAAAGCTAATAGTTTAAATATCTGGATATTTATTTAAAAACTATTATATAAAAACACAATTACAGGACTTTACTTATAAACTTATGAACATGATTTCTAACTGAGAAGTTTACTTGTTTTCAAAATATAATGATCAAGGCTTGAAGACACTAAATTTCTCAAGAAATTTATTCTACTCAGTCTTAAAAAGAGAAGAAATATTTTCCTTCATCAAGTCCTTAAATCCAAAAAAATAGTAAAAAATGAAACATTTTTTACAATAACATAATATATTAATATTATTTAATACTAAAAGATTTGTTGTTTGATTTCAAAATTAACAAAAGATCTGTCATATTTGTTTAATTTCATCTGCCAATTCATTTCCAATAATTAATTGTGTTTTCTTCAAACAGCTCACGCTTGTCAGCAAACTTATTCATTAATTCAATCACACTAAGAATATGCAGATAGAATTTACCATCAACACATTACAAATGAAAGAACAATATATTAGTCAAAGCCACTTACATTTGTTTACTAATGAAAAAAAAAAAAAAAAAATCTTTACCCAGCGATTCCTGTAAATTGCTTTATTCGTCAGAATTTTTTGACAGCAACGTTAAGATGCAAAGTATATCTTTAAAATATTATATTAATAATCAAGATTATGTTATAATCCAACGAGAAGTACATTTAAAATTTCATAAACTGAAAATAAACTCAAAACTGTCTCGGAAGATCAAACTTCAACGTAAATAATTATGCAAGAATCAAGATATTAAAAAAAAAGTCTGTACTTAAATAATTACCCATAAGCTCCTCTTCCAATAAAGCGTATTTTCTCATACTTTTCCATAGCTGGGAAATATATATTTAACAGTATTATTCTAACCGTATTTTACGCACATTATTTTTCTGGGTGGTATGTCAATACCGCCAAGGATAAGACTCGACAGCCGGTATACCGCCAAAGATCTAAAACAAATTCGCCAAGATAATGAAAAATGATGAAAGCCATGTGCTGTTGCGAGATGTTTATTGTAGTCACACTAAACATAAATATAGAGGTGAAGATGAAATATATGAAGATGCTATTATTCGGATTGTAATTATTCAAAACTCAATTATTCGAATCGGTTCTTTCTTGGCCGACTAAATAAGCTTGTTTATAACTTTTCATGGTTTCAAACATTAAAAGAAAATAATATTATAATGAGTTACATATTCCTTAAAGAAACTATTAATTTAATATGTCTTACATGAGTAATTACTTATTGGAGTAGTGAATTTTATTTACTTTGTGAATCTGCTTAGCTTTAAAAAAGTGTTCCTTTTCAAAAAATAATATAAACAGTCGTGATAACATTAAACTAATTCCATTTCTAAGCAAGAATTTTTCTAACTATTTCAACAGATACTCAACTTTTTCCTTTGCGAACAGAGTATAAGAAATAATGAAATCGTTTGGCCAGAAGAAACATCGGCCAAAACGCTTCGTTTGGGATTCTTTTGCTTTACGGCAGTTCTTATGAAAATATCAGAAAATTCTATAAAAAACGTTATGTTAAACTTCTTAAGAATTCCTTAGAAATAACTATTGCTAAGTTTTTATATATATATACGTATATATATATAAATTAGGTCATAGATTATGCATCGAATTCCATAAATGTTTTATGCATCGAATTCCATAAATGTTTAGATATAGCTTCTACAGAATGATATATAGATATTCTACATAGATTTATGCAGGAGATTCTAAAAAAATTTATACAGAACTTCTAAAAATCCCACTTCTAAAGATTCTCCCTTCTAAAGATAGAATTTTTACATAGTGAGTATAGAATCAACAAACAGAATTCTACAGAAAATATAAGATCCAGTTTATAGAATATTGGAGCATAATTCTAAACACTTCTTGCTTAAATCCAAAAATAGTCAAAACCTTTCATCTTCTCACAGAATATGTTTATTTAAAACAAAAATCCTGTAGAATCTTCTGAGTTTTAAAAAAGAAACTTATTTCAAAGCATTCTAAAATGAAAATTTGTTTTTGAATTAGAAAGAATGAATTAAAATTTTACTTATGTGTAGAATTTAAAAAATTTTTAAAAGAAGGAAGATATAAAAATTTTTCACACAGATGTAATTTTTTTTTTCCAGTAAATATTTTGATTTTTAAAATATATTTAAATAAAAATCAATGCATTGTAAATAATTAGCCATTTCTTTTGTTATGGGTACATATACAGTAATTAGAAGCATTAATTTCAGGAATTAAAGTATTATAATTCAGAGCAAAAATTTTATTTTAAATTAATTTTATGCTTTTACAAGATTTAATTTTTCTATTATATAAGCAAGACTCTTCAAAAAATTGTAAAAAATGTTAAATAATTCAATAAGCTTGTAGAGTCTTAATTTCTTTGGAAGAATAAACTAAAACAAGACTTAAACTGAACTTGAGCAACTTAACACTATATCTAGTAAACAGACAGAGAATATACAGGGTGATCAGCGAATAAGCCCTGATTTCAAAATTAAATATGTCTACAACAAAAATCGATAGAATTATGCTGTAAACTGTACATTTATTAGCAAAACTGTAAAAATGATGTACAAAAGTTTAGAAAATTTAGTTACGAAAATCGTTAACAGATGGCGCTCTGCGCTGAAAACTTTCTCTGAAAGGAGTAGAAAAATTAATTAAAATAATAAAGTGAAGCAGCCTTTGCAATCAAAATACAATTTTTTCAAAATGTTCACCGTTCGAAACAATGAGATGTCGTAAACGAACAATGAAATTTGACATCACGTCTTGCAATGTCTCGACGGAAATGGAATCCCATGCAAGACCCATGAACGATTCAAGCTCATCTAGAGTAGCAGGATTGTTTCGATAGACAGCGTCTATCAATGCGCCCCATAGAAAGAAGTCACAAGGATTCAGATCGGGAGAATATGGTGGCCAAGCTATTCCTGTGTCAGTAAATTGAGCATAATCTAACGCAATTACTCTATTCCCAAAGTATTCATGAAGAAAGTGAAAAACTTTATTTGTTCGATGTGGTCGAGCCCCATCTTGCAGGAACCAGTCGATCCTTCAACGCTAGTTGAGTGCTGACAAATTGTTCCAAAATTGTAACGTAACGTTCAGTAGTTATCGTTTCTCGTACGAAAAGGGTCCGATAATGCCTCTGGCGCATACCGCAGCCCATGCCATAACTTTAGGCGAATGCAGTGCTTTTTCTTCACACAAATGAGGATTTTCAGTACCCCAAAATCTCCAGTTTTGTTTATTAACGATTCCATTCAAATGAAAATGTGCCTCATCTGTCAACCAGATGCAGCTGACATCAAATCTGTCGTTGTCGATCATTGTTAGAATCTGATTCACAAAGTCAACCCTTTGTTGCACAGCTTTCATGGGTATGGCCTGATGACTTTGGATTTTGCATGGAAATAGCCGTAGGCTATTTTTAAATATTTTTTTGTGTGTGTGCTACTTCAAACCTGTCTCTGATGCAATCCGTTAGATGCTTTTCCTAGGATTTTGCTGAAGAAATCCAGAAACTTTCGCTGCATTTTCAGGAGTGACTATAGTTTGCTTAGACCCAACATTTCCCTTTCGATCATCAGCCACGCTGCCAGTCCATTCGAATTTCCCGAAGAGCATGCGAATGGTTTTCGCATCGGGTCCAACTGGAACATTGAATCGGTTTTGAAAACTGCGACGTGTTGCCGTAGGACTCTGTTCTAATTGGTGAAATTCCAGAACCAAAATACACGTTGTTCAATGGAATACATTATTTCACTTTCTACGCTAGCCTCTTTTCACTAGTCAACAGTTGTACTGATCACTTTAGACCTCGAAGCACATTTTAAAGGCTATTGATAGGTAATTGCGATTAGAGCGCCATCTGTTAAAGATTTTCATAACTAAATTTTATAAACTTTTGTACACCATTTTTACAGTTTTGCTAATAAACATACAGTTTACCCCATAATTCTATCGATCTTTGTTGTAGAGATATTTAATTTTGAAATCAGGGCTTATTCGCTGATCACCCTGTAAGAAGGGTGTTGTAGGCACTTGTGTTTGCAAAACCAGCGATTAATTATGGCGTAACTCAAAAAGTAATGAATTCAAATTACGGAAAACGGAAAGCGAAAATGACATAAAATAGCTGGTCAGATAAAAAATAAATAAATCCTTACAACTTTTTATGGATGTCAGAATTTAGATACTCGCAAAGAAGTTCTTTAACGACCTCGTTAAAACTTAAATTATAACTAAACCATGAACCAGATTCTTACAAGCACACAGAACTTAACTTTATCTTACAATAGTATGTTGAGAAACATGGCCTCACTAAACCTCAAAAACACTTTATTTTCAAAACTGCACCTAGTGTGCTAACAAAAAAATGATTAAACTTTTATATTGGCTGCAGAGCTTAACCTTAATTCTAATGTATACATTTTCGCCAACTTTTCCTCACATCAGTCTCTTAGACTAAAACAGTATTCATGTTTCTAATCTAACTTAAAATCAATGTGAATAATTGCAAATTTAAATTCAGAATTTCTTGTTACTTAAGAGTATTGAAAATGACCTAACTTGATGCAAAATTCAAAAACAAGAAAGCAACTGTTGCATTTTTCGACATAAAATAGAAACTGTTTCTGCGAAGGAAAAAACAAATTTTCATTTTTGTTCCCCCACAGCCCGGGGTCGACGTAGAGAACTTCGCGAAACTACTGGCTAGGATCTGTACCTAGGCAGTCTCGGCCGGATAAAGAGCAATTGGAGGGATTGGGCCCAATCGGGCCCCGCATTTGGAAGGGCCCAGTGTTGCCATCAAAATGAACACAAAAAAATTCGAAATTTAAAGCAAATTGCTTTTGACGATAATGGATAAATTATGAATTATTCAAATAATTAAAAATATATTTATTTTAAGTTCGCATTGCTGGATGAGATTTATTAATATGCTTATTATTATTAATGTATACTTTATAATATAGAAAACTGATACCCGTAAAATTTCATGTCAAATGTATTGAATTTAATCGGGATAGACTTATATTAGAGAGATTTTGCACTACGTACGTGAACTACTTTACGTACGTAAACTACTATGCAGGTATATTCACGCGCAATTAGTTTCGCAACCGTACCAGCCAGTGGTAGATGTATAGCTAGTGATGGATGTATAGCTAGTATCAAATGTCAATTGTTTCTTGCATTTGTTGTTCGCTATTCTTCTAATCGTTATAATTATAAGAGTCGTATTTTGTAACTACAATTACTAATTGTTAAGGTAAGTACTCATTATATTACATAATTTTTATTAACAAACAATTATTTTTAAAATTAAAAATTTAAGTATATTATGTGATTAAAAATGGATACCTAATCTATAATTTTATCATTAGATGTCGAATCCACGGAAACGAGAAAGAGAACACATGAAAAATTTTAAAAAAATCAATTGGTAGCTATGTTAAAATGTACAGAGCTTCAAAAAAGACTTTCTGTTGAGCAAACAATAAATAATGTTCAACAAAAGTTGTTGAACCAAGAAAAAGTTCGTGAAAAAATGACACTAACTCTCTTAAACTCTTACAAACTTTTGAAACGAAAAATTTACAGCAAACTCGTTGTGCTGTTTTCCTTATTCCCAGATGAACAGAAATCGACGAATCATGTAATTCATATAAAATGCTTAACCTTAAACTATATGGGATAACCGGTCTGAATTCGTAATTCTGATTAGTAGTTTTACGCAAAAAAATTATTATCAATAACTTTCTAATTCGCGGCTCTATTCCTGATGGCCGTAATGTCCTAATACTTAGAATGACCAGGATCTTTCAGATAAGAATAAAATGCCTTTAAACTCGGGATCGCTTTGTAATTCTGCTACGATAGTTTCACATGAAT